TATGTGCCAGACACGGTGCTAAACACTGTTAGAAGCGCCATCTCGAATCCTCACAGGAACGCTAACATTTCCCCAAAGATGGCCGTCACATCTTTCATGGCACACGCTCACCAGAACCTTGCTGCTCCCCATCAAGCATGAACTCTCTTTCCCTGTCTTTGAACCTGTTACTCACTGTGAACCAATAGACTACGTGCCAGTGACATTGTGTGGCTTCGGAGATGAGGCCAGAAAAGGTGCCGCAATCTCTGTCTTGTCTGCTGGGACACTCACTCTTGATGCCTCAGCCACCCTGCAGCATCCCCCCTCCCCCCGCTACTACACCCAGCACCCTGCAGCCCCAGCTACTACACCCAGCACCCTGCAGCCCCCTAGCTACTACACCCAGCACCCTGCAGCCCCAGCTACTACACCCAGCACCCTGCAGCCCCCTAGCTACTACACCCAGCACCCTGTAGCCCCAGCTACTACACCCAGCACCCTGCAGCCCCAGCTACTACACCCAGCACCCCCCCCCGCTACTACACCCAGCACCGCCCCCCCCAGCTACTACACTCAGCACCCTGCAGCCCCAGCTACTACACCCAGCACCCCCCCCCCCCGCTACTACACTCAGCACCCTGCAGCCCCAGCTACTACACCCAGCACCCCCCCCCCCGCTACTACACTCAGCACCCTGCCCCCCGGCTACTACACCCAGAACCCTGCCCCTCAGCTACTACACCCAGCACCCTGCATCCCCCTAGCTACTACACCCAGCACCCTGCAGCCCCAGCTACTATACCCAGAACCCTGCCCCCCAGCTACTATACCCAGCACCCTACAGCCCCCAGCTACTACACCCAGCACCCTGTAGCCCCAGCTACTACACCCAGCACCCTGCAGCCCCCAGCTACTACACCCAGCACCCTGCCCCACCCCAGCTACTACACCCAGCACCCTGCCCCTCAGCTACTACACCCAGCACGCTGCAGCCCGGCTGTCTCGAGCTCACCAGGTTGGGAGGAAACTCAAGCTGGCCCAGGCAGAGAGACCACATCAGAAGCCCTGAGGTTCCTGAGAGGGCGAAGCTTGTCCGAACCCTGACATGTCCCAGCCTCCTCTGTTCTAGCTGTCGCCTTTGACCCTGAATCAGAGCCACCCAGCTGAGCCCTTCTGACTTCATGGCCTTTGTTAACTGTGAGATGAATGGTGATAGCTTTTTACACCAGAAGTTTTTTTGTTTTTTTAAATCCTCACCCGAGGATATTTTCCCATTGATTTTTAGGGAGAGTGGAAGAGAGAGAGAAAGACAGAGAGAAACATCAATGTGAGAGAAACACACAGATTGGTTGCCTCCTGCATGAGCCCAACCAGGCCCTGGGCTGGGGAGGAGCCTGCAACCAAGGTACACGCCCTTGACTGGAATCGAACCCAGGACCCTTCGGCCCACAGGCCGATGCTCTATTCACTGAGCCAAACCGGCTAGGGCTACACCATAAGTTTTGATTTATTATTTAGCAATGGTAACCAGAACAGGTAGGTAAAGCTATCTCTATCGTATAGATGAACAAACTAAGGCTCAAGAAGGTGACATTTCCTGTCTGTCCCACCCTTAGCGTTAAAACTGAGATTTGAACCTGGTTTTATCAGAGTGCTGAGCTCACAGGCCTGTATGTAAGCACGCCCCCCATGCGTGCACCCACAATCGCACATGCATGCTCCCAGGGGGCCTTGGCACATTGCCTGTAGGCCGGTGGGACTCAGGGTGCTGCCCAGACGATGGGGCCGCATGCATCTACATGCAGCACAGTGACAAGGATGGTCCCGGGGCTGGGCTGCCTGGGCTCAGTCCAGGCTCTGCCACTCTGCTGCTGGGTGACTTGGGCAAGAACCTTTGGCAGCTGCGCCTCAGTTTCCTCATCTTCTTTCTTGTAAAAAATTGATTTTAGGAAGAGCGAGAGAGATCCATGGCTCTAATTATTCAGGCATCCATTGGTTAATTCTTGTATGTGCCTTGACCAGGGATTGAACCCCCCCAAATTTGGCGTATCCGGATGACACTATAACCAACTGAACTATCCCAGGGATTTCCTTATTTCTAAGGTGGGCCAAATGACAGGGAACACCTCAGAGGGGTGCTGCTCGGATTACATTTCTAACTAGATGCAAAACACTCAGCCTGGCACGCTGTAAGCACCCAGTCAACGTATCCTTCAGCAGCTTCATACACACCTCTGCCTGCCAGAGACACACGCTGCCCATGGCTGTCCTGCTTACCGGCATTCAGACCGGCACACTCCGAGCTGTGCTTGTGTCTAGGACAGAGGGTGGAGAGAGGGCTGGGAGAAGCAGCTTTGCCAACTGGGACAAATACCCCTCCCCACCCCGCCTGCAGCCTCCTCTTAAGTAACAGCCCTCTGTCCACTGTGACTCCGGCCTGCTCTGGGCCAGAGGGCTCCATGGGAGGGGTGCAGACTGGGGCAGTTGACTCCAGAACTGCAGGGAGCCAAGTCCTCTAGGACCCACCTCCTTGAGCCCTCAAGGTCAGGTTCACTTAAGAGGCTTATCTTGGAGCAGTAATCTGGGGCGGGCTGCAGAAGGGGAGTCCTAGGGGCCGCCCGAGTGAAACCTCCCTGATCAGCCCTCCTAAACTCATGCCCTGCCCACCACGTTCCCTTTGTTTCTTAGCACTCATTAGCACTCAACCTATTATAAAAATTTAAAATCTGGCAGGGACTGGTTTGGCTCAGTGAATAGGGCGTTGGTCTGTGGACTGAAGAGTCCCAGGTTCCATTCTGGTCAAGGGCATGTACCTTGGTTGCGTGCATATGCCCAGTGGGGGGTGTGCAGGAGGCAGCTGGTCCATGTTTCTCTCCCATCGATGTTTCTAACTCTCTATCCCTCTCCCTTCCTCTCTGTAAAAATAAATAAATAAATAAAATATATTTTAAAAAATTAAAATCTGTTCATTGTCTGTCTTCCCTCCCCTCACCCACTACGCCACTAATCAGGGTCTGTTTTGTTCACAGCTGTGTTTCCAGCACCCAGAACAGAGCCTGGCATCCAGGAGGTGCTAAGGAAATGTTCATTGGAGGAGGGGCTGATTCCCAGGGAGAGGCGGGAAGGGGCCACCACGGTCCCGGGTCCTCCCCAAGTTCACAAACGCAGCTGGAAGGGAAGGGCTGGTGGAACCAGTGCCCAGGGGGCTGAGGGTCCTGGAGGCTGTGCCCACCCCTGCCCCTCTCCGCCCTGCCCTGGGCCCCTCACCCTGGTAGCGCTGCCTGGAGTCACGAGCCAGCTGCACTGCGAGCTCCAGGCCGATGCCGGAGGAGCAACCTGAGATCAGTACCGTCCGGGGAAGGTCAGCCATGTTGATCCCTCCCTAGACGCATGACCTCTGCTGGCAGCACCTGTCTCCTGCCTCCCATCTCCCTGAACACCCTCAGAACGGCCGCCTGCAGGGGAAGGGTCTTCACGAGGCCCCGATTCTCAGCTGGCCCAGGCCAGGCACTGGGGGGAATTCCTTAACTCCAACCCCCCCCCCCCCTTCTGTTATCTGTAAAAATGTGTTTGTGATCTGTAAAAACGTCTTCTCCTCACTGCTACACTCATACCTGGGGGCTTTTTATTATGATTGTGCATTTATTATTCGGGGTGGAGGGAGTTTCAGGGAGAGGGGGGATTCTCTTGCTGTCTCTATTCTGGGCAGAGTCTCTGATTGGAGGGAGAGAGGAAGAGGAGGTGGCAGAGAGCATGGTCTCAGTGGGGTCCTTTCGGATGTGCGCAGGAATGCCAGGAGATGCTGTTAGATACAGCAGAAACTTGCCGGCAAGGCAGGGCAAGGCAGCGCAGAAACGATGAGAGGCTCAGCCTCAGACGTCCCTGGGAGGGAGGAGGAGCAGCTTGGGGAGATTCCCTCTGCTGCCCCTACCCTGGGCGCCCCCATCTCCCCCCACGGGCCCCACCCCCTCCTCTCCAGGGACACAGAGACTCTTTGTCTGAGGAGCCAGAGGCTGGGAGGGAGGCACTGCTGGCTTCTCTCTCTCTCTCTCTCCTCTCCTCCTCTCTCTCTCTCTCTCTCTCTCTCTGTGGTGAGGGGAGAGCTCAGGGCCAGGCCGCGCCCGCCCCCGGGGTTCCTCCCCGCGGAAGCTTTCTCAGATCCCACATGTCTGCTCTTGTTCAGATGCACAGACAGCTTCGCCTGACCCTCTGGGGGGACCTCTTCACACTGGGCGGTCGGGGTAGGGTGGTGGGGGGTGCTCTGCCTCACCCCAGAAATGGCAGGGAACTGCTCCTCCCTGTGGCAAGGCTCTGTTTAGGGGTGCAGTCAGACACCCACATTTAAAGGGGGGTATGTGTGCAGACTTGGAATTGGGGGTAGAGCATCCATTTGGGGACCTGAGCTGGGCAGAGGGGTCTAGGGATGGAGGTGGGACCCTTTATTGGAAGATTAAGAGTTTGGGGGAAATCAAGGCGGGTGCTTGGGAATCTGTGGGGAGGTTGGAGAGGGGGCCGGGCCATCCTATTCTGGAATGTGGGAGTATAGATGAAGGTTTGGGGCAAGCCCGAGAGTGTCATTGTAGAATCTGGGGTGAGGGTTAAGGTGGGAAGAGGATCCCTTATTTAGGAACCTGAAGGGAAGGTGTTGGGGTGAGGCAGTACCTCTTGGGTGGGGCTAAGCGATTGGGGTAAGGCGGGTGGGTAAGCGTTTGGTGGGAGGCTGAGATCCCATTTAGGGACCCTCCGTGGCACAGGAAGAACTTGGTATAAAGCTGAACCTCCTAATAGCAGGGCCTGGATGGAGGCTGACGTTTGAATGAGGCTAAGATCTCCTTTGAGGGGCCTGTTCGAAGGAAAGGGTTTGGGGTGAGCCTGGAACCCTGAATGCTAAGGCCGGGTGCTGAGTGACCTTCCTCCTCCTCCAGCGTGGGGCGGGGCAAGCGGGGCCCAGCGCCGGCCCAGGCTCCACCCAATCAGCGCTCAGCGCAAACTTTCCAAACTCCCCCCACCAGCTGTCAGCCGCCTCCCTTCCCGCGGTCCCGCCTGGCCGGGCGCTGGCGTGCAGGGCGAGGCCAGGGCGGGGTCTCGGGCAGTCTCCCGCTGGTCCCGAGCGGAGCTGGCCGCCGGAGTGCGTGCCCGGAGCCCGCGGAGTCGCCACTCCCCGCAGCCGCCCCGGCCGGTCCCCGACCTTGGGTGTGGGCCCCGCCGGGATGGGGAGTCGCCGCGGCCTCGGCCAGCCACGGGCCGGCCTCTGCCTGCTCCTGGCCTTGCTGCAGCTTCTGCCCCGGACACAGGCGGGTGAGCCCGGAGGGAGGGCCGAGGGCGCGGAGGGCAGAGCCCAGCGGGGCGCCCCACGGCGGGGTGGGGCCGGGAAGGGGGAGGCGTGCTCTTTGCGCGTGGCCGCTACCGTGTGCGACTGTCCGGCTCGACTGTCCGACTGTGACAGCTGGGCGGGGGGCGGGGAAACGAGGGACCGTGTTTTGCTGGTGGGCGCAGGGGAACGGATGCAATGTATAAGCGTGCAAGATGCTCTGTGTAGCCATGGGTGCCTGGCCACTTGGAAGGAAACTGTGTGCGCTGGAGAGTGAGAGTTGATTGCATGGATGTGGGCTGATCCCGAAGCGAGCGTGTGATAGTCAGTGATTGCCCAGGAGGACATAAGCGGATGATCCTAAGGGTGATGGGTGAGTGGGGGCGAGTATGGGAGGGGGCTATTAGGGCATTCAGACTTCCCTTTGCGTCTCCCCAAATGCCTTCACCCTACTCTCCCTCTTCTCCCCCTGCCCCCGATTGAGGCGCTCCCACCTCCTCTCCCCCATCCCCTTCCCCCTCCCCCCACGCCGAGCTCCCCAGAGCCGGGATCAGCACCACGGACAGGGCCCGGGGAGGGCCACGGTGAGGGGCGAGGCCGGGCGGGGCAGGGGCGGGGCGGAGCTCCGGCGGGGGCTGGAGGGGAAGTTGGTCCCTACCCAGGGCGGGCCCAGGGTGTTTTTCCCCAGGAATTTCTCAGGAGGCCCTCCCCCCTCCGAAGGGTCCCGGGGGCCATCGGACGGGTGAGTCAGCGCTGACGCACGCCCAGCTGCGCTCCTCTGGCGGGGTGCCATGCCCCCCCCCCCCCCCCGCCCCCAAGCAGGGTTCCCCGGTGCGGAGCATCTGGGGGTTGGGAAGATTTTGGACCCTCAAGTGATGCTTGAGAGGGCTTCCCTGGTCTGAGAGACTCCAGGCAGGCCCTCTAGGAAACCCCTCCCTAAGATAAACTCAGCCCTCCATCACTCACACACACACACACACACCATTTTCTCTGAAGTTCAGGGAGGTGCCTGCTCACGTGGATAATCCCAGATTGGCCTACGCCCCATTCCCACGCTCGCTCATCCACACTAGCGTTCCATCTCCGGCAATTCTTCAGAATGCAAGCCCCTGAGACACCCGGGATGTTAAACACCGGTGCCCACGCTGAGGCGGCCCCACCAGTCACCGGCCCCAGGGCTACAGCTTTGGTCACCCTCCTACACGTTTCAACGCGCTCCCACTGGCATCCATACGACATGGTCAACGTTCACAACCAGTCACCAGCACGTTGGCCTGGCGACGCTTTCCGGTATTACCACAGGCCCCCGACTGGAGTCTAAACACAACCACAGATCACCTGTGAGACCTCACTGCCGGGCCGGCTCCCACGGACACACAGCCACAAGTCAATCTTTCCATCCCAGGCCTCACACTCACACACACTGACACCGCAGACCACACTCAGCCATTCCCTGCTCCGTGAATGTCACATACATCCACAATCTCATGCACATGCACAGTAGCACACACACACATGGCACAGACACGCACACCTATGCTTCCCTACACTTCTGAGGGTGTCCCAGCCATGTCCCAGCCTGGTCCCTGCCTGCCTCCCTCCACACCCTAGACCCCACCCAACGTCTCCCCGGGCCCTGACCATCACAGGGAGAGTCTGTGGGGGAAGGGTGGGCTGGGTCCTTGACAGACACCCCGCCCCCCCCCTCCCAGCCCTGACCCTGCAGGCAAGACTCAATGCCTCTTGTGTGTCTTCTTGTCACAAAGCCAGCCATGAAAAGAAAGGGAAGTCAGTTTCTGAAAGGTCACTTCAGAAGGGACACAAGATTGAAGCAAGAGGCATTTGGGTTAGATGCTGGGAAGGACTTTTGAAACAAAAATGGGCAGTTGGTAGGGAGGAGATTTTCCCCACTGCACAGAGACTGAGGTCTGGATGAGGGGAGAGCCTGGGAGAGCCACACTGAGATGCTGGATCTCAGCCCTCCCCTGGGCCCCAGCCTGGAGAGGGGGCAGCTGGATGGTCGTTGCAGGAGAGAGTGACCCTTGTGGTTAGCAGAGCCTGGGAGCCCAGATCTTAGCCCCAGGGGTCTGTAACCCAAATACCTCTTAATGATAGCCCAGCAGAACAGGCAATTAGAGATGGGGCTGATGATGGTTGCAGGATGGGAAAGGAGGAGGGAGGGAGGGAGGGAGAGAGAGAGAGAGAGAGAGAGAGAGAGAGAGAGAGAGAGAGAGAGAGAGAGAGAGAGACCAGAGATTCAGAGCTGGACTCGGAGAGCGACCCGGAAAGACCGAGACAGAAAGTGGGACAGAGAGAGGGCGGGGTGGGGGAGAGAAGTCATAAAAAATAGGAGCAGAAGGAAGTTGGGGGTAAGAGGGAGCTGAGGCTGAAACAGGCTCTACGGTAGTCTGGAGAATGAAGAGTCTGGCCCAGGAGAAGCTGGAATGGGGTCCCTCATCCAAGCCCCTATTTCCCTCAACTCTTGGCCCCTATCCTGGTTCCCAACGGTGAGGTCAGCAGAGCCGCCCCCAGGGTGAGGTCATGGGCAGATCCAGGAGAACCTGACTCCTGCCAAGAGGCTGGGTCAGGGGGTCAGTAGGACGTCTGCTGGGGGTGGAGAGGAGGGGAGATGGGGCAGGCGCTTTGGGCCAGGCATAGCCCCGCCCACTCCTGCCCAAGCCATGTGGTTCCACTTACTGCTGGACAGCCTGAGCTGCAAGGGGTGGGGCTGGTACAACTGCTTGGATTAGGCTGTGATTGGGCCAGGCCAGTTCCTTCCTTTGCTGGGGTGAGAGGGAGCAGGTCAGAGGGAGAAGGGCAGGAGGTTATCAGAGAGGTGTTCATCATGAAGACAAAGAGGGAACTAACACAGGGAGGTCACAGGTCAGATGACTGGGATAGGCAGAGGGAGGTGGTCAGAGGGGTGGCAGAGCAGGAGTGACCCCAGAGGGGAGATCATGGGTGACGGTGGTCCAGGAGGAGGTCAGAAGAAATCGGTCAGGAGAGGGCGTGGTCAGAGGGAGCAGTTCATAGGAAGTGGTGGTCCAACGAAGAGGTCAGAGGGAGGAGGTGGGGAAGGAGCACTCAAGAGGCCCCATTCTCTCTGAGTGGGTTTCCCCTGGCAAGGGGGCTCCGGGCCTGGAAGCAGCCCCAGGGAGCTCGTGCGGGGGAGAGCGGAGAGGGGGACAGTCTGGCTCTGGGGCTCAGGCCAGGAAGCTTTGATTCATCCCAGAACTAGGTCAGTGTTTTTCTCTCTCACCAAAACCAAGGGGAAAAAAACACAACAAAGCAGGAGTCAACAGGCTAATGGGGCCGGAACAGCTGTGGGTTGTTGGAAAGGGGGATGAGGGTCCCAGACCTGCTCCCTCTCCCTGACCTATAAACACAGTGGGGGGCAGGGGAGCCGAGTCCCCAAACCTGAGCCACTCGCATGGAGTCCTGGGCTTATTTTAACTGCCATGCACCCCGCTTCTTTCTGCAGCAGACCCCGTGGACGTGCTGGAGGCTCTGGGTGTGCGGGGGGGCCAGGCTGGGGTCCCTGAGGGGCCTGGCCTCTGCCCCCAGAGGGCCCCAGGGGGCGACCGGGCATTCAAGGTGGGCAAGGCCAGCGCTCTGGGCGTCCCCACGTGGGAACTCTTTCCAGGTAAGTCCGCGTGGGAGGGACGGGGAGGGGGGTCATCCTGGGAGCAGGGGTCCCTGCCAGGTCATCTGAGTTGCCCCTTCCCCTCCATACCCCCATCAGATGAGCACTTTCCCGAGAACTTCTCTGTGCTGCTCACTCTGCGGGGCCAGCCAGCCAACCAGTCTGTCCTTCTGTCCGTTTATGACGAGGACGGGGTCCGGCAGCTGGGCCTGGCGCTGGGGCCAGCTCTGGGCCTCCTCGGTGGCTCCTTTAGACCCCTCCCCCAGCAGGTCAACCTCCTGGATGGCAGGTGAGTGGAGGCAGAGGGAGGGCCCACAGCGTGGTGGGGCGAGAAGCACCCCCCGCTGAGACGTCTCCCTGCAGGTGGCACCGCGTGGCAGTCAGTGTGGACGGCGGCATGGTGACCCTGGTGGCTGACTGTGAGCCCCAGCCCCCTGTGTTGGGCCAGGGGCCTCGATTCATCAGCACGGCTGGACTCACCATGTTGGGGAGCCAGGACCTCGGAGAGGAGACTTTTGAGGTAGCTGTTCAATGCCAGGGGAAACCCAGGCAGAGGGCGGGCAGGCGTTTTATCCACAGGCTGATCCGGAGAAGAGATAGGGGGAGGGGAATGTCTGGCTGCCACTTCCTGCCGGGCAGCGGAGAGAAGGGAGCGCCATGCGTCCTTGCCCCTCTCTGTGGCGTGTGGCTGAGGTTCTAGGCAGTGGTTCTCAACCTTCCTGGTGCTGTGACCTTTTAAAATGCAGCTCCTCCTGTTGTGGTGACCCCCAACCATAAAATTATTTTCGTTGGTACTTCGTAACTGTAATTTTGCTACTGTTATGAATTGTAATGTAAATATCTGTGTTTTCCGATGGTCTTAGGCTCTACAGCAGCGGTTCTCAACCTGTGGGTTGCGACATTAGGAAGGTTCTAGAGCCACGACGCAATGATCATTTGTGATGCGCATATGGCGTGTGGTGGGAGGATAAGGCTGTGACGCGTTACTGTGCTCTCTGTGGTGGCGGGCTGCTTGTGTGTGGGGTGGTTATGAGGTTGGGTGCTGGCAAGGCATGGCGTTGAGTGGCCATGGGGCAGGCGTGTTTTTGGTGTGGTGGCTGTGCTGCGTGTGACTGTGATGTGTGCCACCTCCAGGAGGCCTCGACCTCCTCCATCCTGCTGTTCCCCTTCTCCCTGGCACCTTGAAGGTCACCTGACACCCGAGAGCCGGGGAACAAATGTGCCTCTGATGGGATGGATGCTGTGGGCTGTGGTTTGCGGTTGTGGTTTGCTGTGACCCTGGTAGAATCTGTCTTCTCTCAGTTTTGAAGAACCGAGGGGGTCACTGGGGCTGTGGTGGGGGCCACCCCCTCCTTATACTTAGGGTGTTCTGGGTGGAGAAGCACCAAGCCTCGATGCGTGGATTGGGGGCCAGAGTTAGCCTGTGACTTCCTTCCCTTCTCCCACCCTCTCCCCAGGGAGATATCCAGGAGCTGCTGATAAGCACGGATCCCCAGGCTGCCTTCCAGGCCTGTGAGCGCTACCTTCCGGGCTGTGACCACCTGGACCCGACAGCCTCAGGGGTGAGTGAGAGGCTTGTCCTAGACCACAGGCTGAGCCAGCCCTGGCTTCAGGTCTCAGGAATGAGTGAATTCTGAGCCCCATCAATGGGGCTGAGTGACTCCTGCCCTCACACAGATCATAGGCATGGGTGACCTTGACCCAGGATCATAAAGTTGAGTGACTCCTGGCTTTAAGACACAGGATGAGTGGTCTGTGAACTAACATAGCCTCGAGGGACCAAGTGATGAGGCCCCCACGGAGGGCCTCGGGATCTGACTGGGGTCTTCTTCCCAGGTCCCCCAGGGTGAGCCGGAAACCCCTCCCCCCAAACGGAAGAGGAAGGGAAAGGGGAAGAAAAAAGGGCGAGGTCGTAAGGGGAAGGGCAAGAAGAAGAAGAACAAAGAGACCTTGACCCTGGATCCCTCTCTTGGTTCCCTGGAGAACCAGGTAAGGGACCTTTGACCTCTCACCTCTGATCGATGGCTGCCTGACTTCTGGTTCCTGATTCCCGCTGATGAAGGTCTCTGCTTTCAGTCTCCAATCCCTGACTTTGGATTTACCTTAGCTGACTGATGACTGGGTGGTGGGGCAGGGGTGCTGGTTCTGTCTTATGAGCTCTCCATCTCTGCCCCCACATCAGGACGAGACCTTATTATTAAAAGGATCTTGATGAGAGTCCTGTTTAAGAGTAGCTGGGGCTTCATCAGTGTGTTATTCCTTGGGGTTGACTGTTGGGGCCATTGGTGAGGGTTATTTACTGGGGAGTCACTAATTGAAACGGGGAGCAATATTTGACTTTCCTGATAAAGATCGATAGTTGGTGTGTCACAGGGCAGGGGTCTTTGCTGAAGGCCATTGGCTGGGGTCCTTGATTAGGGCAAGGTCACTGGTTGTACTACATCTGCTTTCGGTATTAGCTGGGAGAAAGACTTATTATTTCAGACCCAGAGCAGGGGCACCCTGGGTAGCAGCCTCTCCCCAGCCCCTTCCTCAGCCCCGGCCCCAGCCCCTTACCTGGGCCTCCACCGCCTTCTCTGTGGCTCTTGACCCAGTTCCTCTGCAGCTGTCCAGGCCAGAGGAGCTGCCGCTCCCTCGCTGACTGTGGCTTGGCCGGCTGATGGGAGCTCGCCTGGGGAGAGAACATGTGGGATAGGCTTCCGGGAGCCTGGCCCTGAGTGCTGGACCTTGACCCTGATCACTGGGCCCTGGAGCCAGCCCGGCTCTGTCCTCCAGGCTTCGGACACCAGGCTCGGCCCTCCTCCTCCACACATAAGAGCTCCCCCTGCTGGCTGTCTTGGTCCAGCCAGCACACCTTGGCCTCTAGTGGCTAGCCCCTCCCCCACTTCTTATGTTCTCTGGGAATCCTGTTACACCCACTTCCCCAGACTGGGAGGGGGCAGGGCTCACTCCTCCTTTTTCTCCTTTTTGTCTTAATTGGCCTGACCCTAAACCAGATACCCTCATGTCCCTCCTCCAGACCTCTACTGACACCCCCAGGACAGAGACAACAGCTCCAACTCTGCCTCCGAGTCCCACGGCCGTGGTCCTCACCACCACTGTGGCCATTGGCCGCAATGTCACCGTCCTGGAGGTTGGTGGAAAGTGGGTGGGGCTGGAAGGGAAGGCCCCTGGGCAGGGGTGGTGGCAGGTAATCAGGAGTAGACTTCGGTCTGTCTTAATGTCCTCAGGAGGGGCTGGACCCTGAAGGTGAAACTGAACTGGGGACCCTGGAGACTGATTTAGCCAGAGAGGATGAGGAAGGAGATGGCCCCACCATGGGCCCCAACTTCCGGGCAGCGGAACAGCCGTCGCAGACTGAGTTCCACATCTTCCCTGTGAGTCTGGGCGACTGGGTTAGGCGCAGGGGGCGCACCCGCCCATGGCCACATTCTTCCTCTTGCCTTGTTTCTGTCTTGCCTGGAATGCCTTCCTACCATCCCAGTGGAGCTGACAAATATTTATCTACAGGCACTGTGCTAATGTGACAGACATTGTGCTAATAGATGGTTCTGTGGGTGGGGTGATTCATTCAGATTTTCGACTAAGCCACTGGAGATGGAACAAGGTCTGATTTGGAGTTTTAACAGCTCCTCTGGCTGCTGAGCAGCATGTGAACCATAGGGGGAGCCAGAGAGGCAGCAGGGAAACGTAGTCTCAGCAACAGCCTGTGGTGACCTGGAGGAGGGCAGCAGCGGAGATGGGGATAGAAAAGAGTGGACAGATTTGGGTCATGCTCCATGTTGGTCTTGCTGCTGGAGGTGGAGGAAGATGTAAGGATGACAGCAGACTCCCAATGGGACCATGGTGCGAGATAGGGAAGCCCGAGGGAGGGCCGAGTAGGAAGTGCCAAGGATCTCATTTTGGATGTGCTAACTCAGCAGCCCCCCTTTGGCCTCCAAGTGGAGATGTCAAGCGGGTGATTGGTTAGAAGATTCTGGTGTTCAAGGGAGACAGATGGTCTAGGCTGGAGATAAACCCTTGGGACTGATCCACCGAGAGATGCTTTCTTTAGCCAAGGAATTCGATAGAATCGCCGAGGGAAATAATGCAGGTGGAGAAGAGGGCTCAGGTTCCAGCTTTGGTGCTGGACTGGGTGGAGGGGAAGAATTTTAATGAACTCTCCCTGTGACGTGCCAAGCACTGTTTGAACTTATTCCTATGTTCATGGGACTCCTCTTTGCATGGGATGGCACCATCCACCCACTGGCTTTGCAGGGAGGCCAGGGAAGTTGAAGGAGTTGCTGTCCATCAGTCAGCTAGCGAGAGGCAGCTAGCTCTGGGATCAGGCCCGCACAACAGGCTCTAGAGCGGGCTGTTCCCCTGACGCTGCCTGGCCAGGCGGCAGCTGGGAGCTGAGCTGCTCAACATCTTGGTTGAAGAAAGGACAGCCCAGGCAGCTCAGAGGATGGGCTCTGTGTGCATGTGTGCACTTGTATGTGTGCATGTGTGTTCATGCGTGCACTCGCACGCGCGTGTGTGTATGTTGACTGTGAGGTTGGCTGGCTGGGAGTTCTTTGTCGGAGTTGCAGTGCTCACATCTCTTTTCTCTCCACCTCCTGTCCCAGGGCGCTGGAGAGAAGGGAGCCAAAGGAGAACCTGCTGTGATTGAGCAGGTGAGGGGCCTGGGGCTGGGAGGAGGCGGTGGAGTCTGGGTGAGAAGGGGAGTCACACACATTTTTCCTTCAGGGGCAGCAGTTTGAGGGACCCCCAGGAGCCCCAGGACCTCGGGTGAGTCAGGGCTGCATTCCTCTCTTCCCATCTTTCTCTTCCAGTTGGGGTGTTTGAGCCCCTGGGGTAAGGAGTTGGAATGTGATATTGTCAGGTCATTTGAAGACTATTGGACATTTGAGGCTCAAAGGATGTCGGAATAGGAATTGGGGTGTAAAGGGGACTGCTGTGGGTCCGTATAGGATTAGGGGCCAGGAATGGCTCCATGGTTGGCCATAGAGGTCAGCATGGGGTCAGGGTCAGTGGTTGGTCAGAAGTCAGGCTGGTTTCAACTTTGTACTTCTCATGACCTCTGTTCTTCTGTTCTCAACAGGGGGTGGATGGCCCCTCAGGCCCTCCTGGACCCCCAGGGTACCCTGGGGACCCCGGCCTACCGGTAAGAGACTCCCCCAGGGTGTACCTGTCTGGGGGGTGAGGTTTCAGGCTGTGGGGTTGAGGTGGATGTCTGAATCGGTCTGAGAGGCAGGACTGGGGATATGGTCCTGGAGCTGGTTCAGGCCCCTCCCACTCCTCTCTCTCCATCTGGGAACTGTCACTCAGGAGCTCTGGCCCCTCCCCTGTCCCCAGGGGTCTGTCTCCTGCTTTTCTCCCTGTTTCTCTCTCTGAGTATCTTTTTTCTCTGTTCTCTCATGTTTCTTCCTTCCTCTCTTTCTTCCTTCCTCTCTTTCTTCCTTCCTCTCTTTTTTCCTTCCTCTCTTTCTTCCTTCCTCTCTTCCTTCCTCCCTTCCTTCCTCCCTTCCTTCCTTCCTTCCTTCCTTCCTTCCTTTCTTTCTTTCTTTCTTTCTTTCTTTCTTTCTTTCTTTCTTTCTTTCTTTCTTTCTTTCTTTCTTTCTTTCTTTCTTTCTTATATATTTTATTGACACCAGAGAGTAAGGGAGAGAGAAAGAGATAGAAACATCAATGATGAGAGAGAATCTTTGATTGGCTGCCCCCTGCATGCCCCACATTGGGGACTGAGCCAGCAACCTGGGCATATGCCCTGAGTGGGAATTGAACCTTGACCTCCTAGTTCATAGATTGACGCTCAACCACTGAGCCATGTCAACCTGGCTGTGTCTCTGTTTCTTTATCTCTCTTCTGTCTGTCTCTCTGTGTGTTTCTGTCTCTGCTACCTTTTTATTTTTATAATTATTATTTTTAATATATTTTATTGATTTTTTACAGAGAGGAAGGGAGAGAGATAGAGAGCTAGAAACATCGATGAGAGAAACACTGATCAGCTGCCTCTTGCACACCTACCGGGGATGTGCCCGCAACCAACGTACATGCCCCTGACCGGAATCGAACCTGGGACCTTTCAGTCCACAGACCGACGCTCTACCACTGAGCCAAACCGGTTTTGGTTGTCTCTGCTACCTTTAAAAAAATATACTTTTTTATTGACTTTGGAGAGGAATGGAGAGGGAGAGAAATAGAAACATCAATGATGAGAAAGAATCATTGGTTGGCAGCCTACTGGGGATTAAGTCTGCAACCCAGGCATGTGCCCTTGATTGGAATCAACCCAGGACCCTCCAGTCCATAGGCTGACACTCTATCTACTGAGCCAAACCGGCTAGGGGCTCTGCTACTTTTTATGGCTCTCTCCCTCCTTCTCTACGTCTTTCTCTTGCTACTCTCTCTCTCTCTTTCTCCCTGCCTCCATCTATCTCTGTCTCTCCTTTCTTTGTCTCCACCCCTCTCATCCTCCATCTCCGTCTCTGACCTCAGCCTCTCTCTGTGCCCTTCTGCCTCTCTTAGGGCCCTGCTGGCCTCCCGGGAATCCCTGGCATGGATGGACACCGGGGCCTACCAGGAACTGTGATCATGATGCCGGTAAGAAGGAGATAGGGTGGCACAGCTTTGGGAGGTGGAGCCTCTCTTTGGGGCTCCTCTCACTGCCAGTTGCCTGATAGTTCCAGTTTGCAAGCGGCTCCCTCAAAGGACCCCCAGTCTCCTTCCAGCAGGCCCAGGCTCAGGCAATAATGCAGCAGGCTCAGGTGCGTGGAGGACAATCGGGACTGACGGGGGGAGGGGGTTGGAAGGACATTGAGGGATTGGGAATGAAGGGCTAGTCAGGAGACAGGTAGATATTTGTCTCCCGAAAATCTGCTCTGGCGGAGTGGGGGTGTGGTGGGTGGGGTGGGCGTGCTGGAGTCTTGGGGGAGAGTTGAGGGAGTAGAGAGTAAGGGAGAGTAGAGAGTAAGGGAGTCTGTTGCCCTCGGTCTTTCCAGCTTTCTATGAAAGGCCCCCCTGGCCCGATAGGCCTCACTGGACGTCCAGGCCCTGTGGTGAGTATAGAGGCTGCCTGAAAGAGGGAGATACGTCAGTGGAAAGGGGAAGCTACTTTAATGGCACTTCCCCATCTCTTCCTCCAAGGGCCTCCCTGGGTATGCTGGTCAGAAAGGAGAGATGGGAGAAATGGGGCCACAGGTAAGATCGGGGGTGGGGACAGGACTGCATGGGAAGGGTCTTCCCTTAGGGCCACGGGAAAAAGCGCTAGCTGGGGAAAATGACAAAGGGGCTGGGATACTCTTCAATGACTACCCTCCCTGGGGAATGATTTAAAACAAGTCCTTCCTGCTTCTCATTTTTCTTTCCATTCTCTTTTTCTTTCTCTTCCAGGGTCCCCGAGGCCTTCAGGGACCTGTTGGGCCCCCTGGCCGGCAGGGCAAGATGGTGAGTGACTCCTAGGTCCTCAGGTCATCTTGCATCCGCCCCCCAACACCCAACACGAGCCTCAGCCTTGTGCTCCCAGGGTGTGCTGGTGTCACTGGTGGGATTAGAATAGAGGGCAAAGGATGGCAGCTCCACTGCGTGTGTGACAAAGGAGTCTGGCCGGGTCCCGAGGCAGGGAGGACTTGCCAGAGAAAACCAGGTGGAGCTGAAATCTGGGCTAGAACCAGGTAGACAGGAGAGGAAGGGCATCCCAGGAGAAGAAACAGCAGGTGCAGAACAGAAGTCTGGCGCATGGCAGGAAATAATGAACAAGATGCCTCCAGAGTGCCCGGAGACACACACAGCAGGCCAGCTGACGGAGACTGCAGCTGAGGGTTCTTAATCTTTGTGACGCTGGTGACTTGGACTAGAGACAGGGCAGTGGTTGTAGAGAGTAGTGGGTGGGTTTGAGGTACGTGTGGGAGGTTAGACTAACACAGAAGCTCCCGGCGCAGGACTCTGCACGAGAACGGGCCCAGTCAATGGTGGTGGGTATCCTGAGGATGTCACTCCCCCCACAGGGCCGCTCTGGAGCAGATGGGGCTCGAGGCCTCCCAGGGGACACGGGACCTAAGGTAGGTGGTGGGGCCAGGACCGGGATTGAGGAGATGTCAGGGTCAAGGACTCGAGGCTCAGCTGGTGTTTCTTTGTGCAGGGTGACAGGGGCTTTGATGGCCTTCCAGGGCTGCCTGGTGAGCAGGGCCAAAGGGTGAGTGTGTGAGGTCCCTCCCGTGTGCCCAAACTCCTCCCAATATTCATGAGCCCCTCCCCATCCTCAGTATGAGAACCTCTAACCCTGGTTCCGAGTCCTCACTCTTCACGTCCCATCTTCTTCCCTGGGGGGGTGACGGGGTGTGTGTGTGTGTGTGTGTGTGTGTGTTAATCTCTACCCCCACATTTCCACACTGAACTCTCTTCTGGTCCCACCCTAGGGTGACTTTGGCCCTATGGGGCGGCCTGGTCCCCCCGGAGAAGATGGTCAGAAGGTAAGTTTATCGGAGAGTTAGGAGATGGCTTGGTCTGGAAAGCCACAGTGAGAGTCAGGGAGGAGGGGCGTGTTCACAGGACAGGATGAGGGGTGAGGGTCTGACCTGGAGGGCCCGGAGGCCCCCCAGTGAGGCTCACACCAGAGGGAGAGCCTTGGCTGGTTTGGCTCAGTGGATAGAGTGTCGGCCTGCAGACTGAAGGGTCCCAGGTTCGTTTCCAGTCAAGGGCACATGCCCAGGTTGCAGGCTCATTCCCCAGTGGGGAGTGTGCAGGAGGCAGCCGATCAATGATTCTCTCTCATCATTGATGTTTCTCTCTCCCTCTCTCTTCCTCTTGGGGGGGAAAAAAAAATATATATATATATATATATATATATATATATATATATATATATATATATATATATATATGACAGAGGGAGAGCTGCAGACTAGCACTGGCGTTAGGATTTAGGAGGTGAGACTCAGGGTGGAGGGTCCAGGTCAGAGGCCCTCCATGTCAGTTGCTGGGAGGGGCTGCCCAGATGAGGGATGGTAGTTCTCCTAGGGTCCTTCCTCCCCCCTTCCCTTCTCCCTCCCCCTTCTCGCCTCCCCCTCTCCCTCTCTCTCTCCCTCTCCCCTCCCCCCCTCCCCAAGTGATGATGCCTTCCCACAGGGAGCAGAGGGACCTCCAGGGCCCACTGGCCAGGCTGGGGAGCCGGTGAGTATCAGGGACCCGTGGACCCCTTGCCTGGTGCCCAGGACTCATGGGGCCTCAGAGCAGCGACGAGGGGCTAATGCTCCTACTTCCTTGCAGGGCCCCCGAGGACTGATTGGCCCTAGAGGCTCGCCTGGGTTCCTGGGCAGCCCGGTGAGAATGTCTCTGTCTCTCGCATCCGTGCTGCCTGCTCACCTCGCTCTGCATGGCACTCCCTTCCCCCTTCTCTGCGCGCTCACCTCCCACACGCACCTCCCACCTTGCAGTGTCTCGGGCGCTGGCTCCTGCGGGTGTGTCGCCCCACCTCACGGCTTCTCTCCCGCAGGGCGCGGTGGGCATTGATGGTGCGCCAGGTGCCAAAGGAAACGTGGTATGTGTTCTACCCTCCAACCCGAACCCCAGGACCATCCCTATCGTTGTCTACTCCCAATGAGCTCCTCCTCCCGCGCCAGCTTCACCGACACCTCAACACCGTGACCCCCTCCGGCTTCACAAACCCCCCTTTCTCCCCAGGGTCCTCCAGGAGAACCAGGACCCCCAGGACAGCAGGGGAATCCCGGGTCCCAGGTTTGAGCTACCTTTCCCAATAATGTGGGTGGTGAGGCCAGCCCAGGCCACAGACCGCCCCTCCCCCCTCCCTCTCCCCCCCCCTTGGCCCCAGCCCCCTGCCTTCCCACCGGCAGCACTCACCACCCCTTTCTCACGCCCCCCCTTTGCACTCTGTGCTTTTTATTTTCTGTCCCCAGGGACTCCCTGGCCCCCAGGGACCCATCGGCACTCCTGGAGAGAAGGTGAGTGACAGCTCTGCCCCTCCCCCGCCCCCACCCAGGTCTTGCTCAGTGCTGTCTGCAGGAAAAGCTTCCTGTGGCCCCGTTTATGAGCTCTGGATAATGACAAAGCACAACATTTCCTGAACGAGGCCAGAGGGCACCGTGCCGTTGTTGGCGAAGGGGAGGCGGCAAGAGACTGACAGCCACCAAAGCTAGCTCAGCCAAGGGGGTGTTGTCGGGGTGCAGGGGGCCCTCAGACGCCAGTCACAGAGAAGATTACCAAGACTCATGGGCCAGGAAAGCCCTTTCTCTGGGGCCCTGTGCGGCCAGCTCTGCTCTGCACATGTTTCTGTCTCCCCCGGCAGGCACGCCGCTCGCCACACGTTGTTCAGTTTCAGTGTGTCCTTTCCCCAGCTCTCATTCACTCCTTATGACCTTGTAGTTTCTTTGCCCCAATCCAGCTGATCCTTTACCTAAATCCAGGTAAACTTCAGGAGAGACTCTGACTGTCCTAGCTGGGCCATGGCCTGCCTGTGCGGGGAGTCACCTCCTGGCTGCCAAGGCCCTGGTCTCTCCAGATGAAGCCGTGGGCGGGAGGTACTTCTGAAGAAAAGGGTGTGGCTAGGGAGCCCCGCTTCCACTCCTCCCACACTGTTCCTCCATGCCCGGCCCGGCTCAGCTGTCCCAGAGGCAGAGGATTTCTGAGGCTCAGAGCGGCCAGGGGGCTTAGCCAGGGCCACAAGGCAAGTCCGGGCAGAGCTGGGGTTAGGTTTCCCGGCCCGAGGGACCCGCTTGTTCTGGAATCTTGATGTGGCGGCAGCGTGTTCCTGGTGGAATCTGGACTCTGTCTCCTCCTCCTGCTCATTATCTTTCAGGGTCCCCCGGGACACCCAGGAATTCCAGGCCTCACGGGATCGGATGGCCCTCCGGTGAGACCTGGATGCTGGAAAGAAGGAGGAAGAAGAAAGGGAGGCTTGGGAATTTGGGTGGTACGTGTGGGTCTCTGATAACTTAGAACGTCTTTCCCCGCAGGGTCACCCAGGCCACGAGGGCCCCACAGGAGAGAAGGGGACCCAGGTGAGTGATCTGGAGAGAGGCTGGGTTGGGGATTAGGGTTGGTAAGTCAGGGCCGGGAGTCAGGGCCTTATGAGGAGAGAGGGGAGGGCCCTGAGAACATGGGGGCGGGGGGAGGACAGGATGGCACTAATCTTATCTTCACCGCAGGGCCCAGCAGGGTCTGCAGGCCCTCGGGGATACCCTGGACCTCGGGGTGTGAAGGTAGGTGATTCATCACATTGGCCAGGCGCGGTGTAGAGCACATGTGTCAAACACAAGGCCCGCGGGCCAAATCCGTCCCGCCAGGCCTTGCAGTGTGGCCCGCACCGCGCTGTCATCACTGCACTCCGCTGCGTTTCCATCACAATGACAGTTTATGACTGTTCCGTAAACCATGCGGCCCGCGATTTAGGCTGGATTTTAGATTTTGGCCCCTTCTCTGATTGAGTTCGACACCCCTAGTGTAGAGGGAGAGTGGGGTTTGGGTCTGAGCGGCAATATTCAGGAGCGTGTGTATTACTTCGGAGCTGAACAGCCAAAGGACAGCCTTACAGTGTAGCCGTTGCCTTGTCGCTGAGAACAGTTGAGTCCACTCGAGGCCGAGCCCATTTCACTGTGAGCACCAATGCCACGTCCAAGTCCAGGGCAGCACACGGTCATCAAGCAGAGGTGGCTTTAAAGCTCGAGCCCAGAGTCACACGATCTACAAGCCCAGCAACGTGGGGACCATCTGAGAGCCACGCCGTGGCTAAACAGAGGTCCCCATTGACTGAACACAGGGATATTGGGATTCGCATCTATTTGGTCGCTAAACCCAGTCACACCGTAGCCACGTACAGGCACACGCTACCTGAGGTCTAAGAACGGAGTGTGGTGGTAGCCAAGAGTTAGTTCTTCACATTTTTGCATCGTAGGCACCTTTGGTGACACAATCCCCGGGGAGGAGGCTATGTTACAGCAGGCCACAGCGCCCTGTGGGTGGCCACACTCGGTGACATGGTAGGCAGGCGCAGTTATATGTAGTTGAGACCTTTGTGATAGCAGCCGATTCCAGTTACATTGTGGCCCGGGCCAGAGGACAGTTGTTGGCAAGCTCAGTTACACTGTGGTCATTCTGTGAATCGCTCTGTACCCGGAGGAGGCCACGCGGTTGTCAAAGCACACAGGAGATTGCATCCAAGTGCAGTTTCATTGTAGTCGCCGAGCTCAGTGACGCGGTGTCTCTCCGTGGAAGGAGACCCAGTCATGCTACTGTCAGGACACATGGTTAGATGGTATCCCGCTGTCACTTCACTGTCCCTCTGAGCTCGGTTACGCTGTGGCCAAGCGCAGCTTTCCCTGAGGCCCGAGCCCAGAGTGCGGCCTGAGCGGCATCTGGGATCGCGCGGAGCGGTCTCGCTGTCCCCGAGCACAGGCTGGCCTTGTTGCCAGGCACAGAGTCGCACTGTAGCCAGTACAATGGGGAGCATGCCTCTGCCTTTGGAGCGAGGCCGGGGCCTGGAATGCTCATCCTCCTTCCCCTGCCAGAAGGAAATGTGGACAGAGTGTCCCCGGGAGACGGGAAGGAATTACTTGGAAATCTGGCCTTCCCTGCGCATCCCCACGCAGCTGACCTTGGGAGGCTGCCAGTGAGAAGGGGCGGGAGAGAGGCCGCTTCCTGCACAGCACGCTAGTGGGCTGCCCCTACCCTGCCCCAGCCCAGCGTCCTCTTGGCGTTGGGGAACCTGCTTTGGGGGGGCAGGGGACTGAGTTTGGGGCCCTCCTTACTTAAGCAGGGGAAGGACCTGAGAGCTTCTTTATTTTTCAGGGTACCTCTGGCAACCGGGGCCTCCAGGGGGAGAAAGGTGTGAAGGTGAGAAGGGAGGGGATTTCTTGGGAGGGGAGCCCTAATACTGGGGCTCTGCCTGTGAACTTTCCCTGAACCCTGCCCTCTGACCTCTGGACTCTCTCCCTTCAGGGAGAGGACGGCTTCCCAGGCTTCAAGGGTGACGTGGGGCTTAAAGGAGACCGGGTAAGGTGCTCTCCCGGTCAAGGGTCTTGTGGGGTTGGGGGGCTTGGGGAGGGCAGGGTGGGGTGCGTTGGGGCTGAGACTGGGGGCTTCATGGAGTAAGAGTGACAAGGAACTGATAACAGGGCCTCTCCTTTCTATTCCAGGGCCACCCGGGACCCCCAGGTCCCCGGGGAGAGGATGGCCCTGAGGGGCTGAAAGGGCAGGAGGGGCTGCCTGGTGAGGAGGGGCCCCCAGGCTCAGCTGGGGAGAAGGTGAATGGACCTTGGTCACCCCTCCAGTCTGCTCTTCAGCTTTTCATCCTGTGGTCACGGGTTCCCAGCCTTTTGTCTTCTGCCCTCTGCCCTCTGCCCTCTGCCCTTTTCTCTCCAACCTCAGGAAGCTTCTCCTTTGATTCCTCTGCTCAGCATTGCGGAGCAGTGCCATGCGCATTGCCTGCTTTTTGTTCCCATAACCACCACAGGCCACAGGCTTTCTTTTTTGGTTAATCCTCGCCTGAGGACATTTCCCCCACTGATTTTTGGAGAGTGGAAAGGGGAGAGGGGAGAGAGAATCTCACCCTGCTGTGCCTTCTACATGCCCAGCCATCCTGCCCTCTCCTCCCCCCCTGCCCCCCTGACCTCCAGGTTGCAATTTCTAAACTTTGTTCCATAATTCCTCTGTAGGGCAAACTTGGGGTGCCAGGTCTCCCAGGTTACCCAGGACGTCCAGGCCCTAAGGTAAGGAGCTAAGGGGCTGAGGGTGGGCAAGGGCAGGGGCCAGAGGCTGATTAACATAAGGTCTGGGCCGTGGTCTGGGAGTTGAGCTCTCCACCATGAATAAACAGCATGAGGTACGGGCTTTGGTAACTAACAGAGTTGGGCTCCAGTACCCACTCATTAGCCTCTATGTGACCTTGGGCAAGTCACCCCTTACTTGCTAAGTAACCCTGGGCAAGTCTCTTTCTCTCTTTTTGAATTTTTATAAGAATTTACTGAAGCCCAAACTTCGCAATTGCCTGGAAGCAAGATCTCAAATGCTCTCTGGGCAAGTTTCTTGACCCATTTTTTCCAGTTGCAGAATGGAGATACCAGTGCTCTTTATTTCATCCATTTGATATAAAAGTGACAAAATTTATGATAAAACAATTTATAAGATCCTTCTTACTTGGTGTGATTGAAATCGGTTTAAACAAAGTCAACGAGGAGGAGAATCATAAAAAATACATTTCTTACATATCTTGAATTAGTTATAAGTTACAATAAAACGCACTTATGCAAAAATGTACATGGCTTGCCAGTGTTTTGATGGATGAGGCTACTGATTAGACACCTCTTTCTGCCAAAGCTACACCCATATTGCATCATCAATGATTTATAGTTTTTGTTTATGTGAAGTGGAGCAGACGCTTAAGGACGCTTGGGAAGAAATCTGAGTGTAGGATCCTTCCCGAGATCCATGCGTTTGCGTTTGCCCTCTCCTCCTGGCACAGTTATCCTGCCCATGCGTAATCGGACAGCAATTTTTTAAAAAAAGCTTTTTCTTTTCTTTTTCTCACAAGTTCAGGGAAGTTTTTTTAAATTTTTTTATTTTATTGATTTTTTTTTTTTTACAGAGGAAGAGAAAGGGATAGAGAGTTAGAAACATCGATCAGCTGCCTCTGGCACACCCCCTATTGGGGATGTGCCCGCAACCAAGGTACATGCCCTTGACCAGAATCGAACCTGTGACCCTTGAGTCTGCAGGCCGACGCTCTTTCCACTGAGCCAAACAGGTTTTGGCGACAGCAATTTTTATTGACTTCAGAGAGGAAGAGAGAGATAGAAACATCGATGATGAGAGAGAATTATTGATCAGCTGTCTTCTGCACCCTCTTAACCGCCGCTGGGGATCGAGCCCCCATGGAGCATGTGCCCTGATGGGTTCATAGGTCGACATTCAACCATGAGCCACACTGGCTTTGCTGACAGTGTTTTTCTTTTCTTTTTTTTTTCTTTTCTTTTCTTTTTCCCCCTTTATATCAAGTCTTTTCCATTTAACTTAGACTTGATAGACCTCTTTTTTTTCCTTTCTATGTTTCATCAATTTTTGTAAACTCTCCTTAAACCACACGACTCCAATAGCAAGGGCAACTGACATAACTAGGTTTGGGAATTAACTCATGGCACTATATATATATATATAAAAGCCTAAAAGACTGACTGTTAAGACCAGATGACTGGCCGGAAACTATGACAAACACTGACTACTAGGCAGCAGCTGCTCAACATAGGAGCTGCCCCCTGTGGTCAGTGCGCTCCCACAGCCAACCTCCCACGGTCCCTCCCCCACACTGGCTGGCCAACCCTGATTGGCCCCCATCGCTGGCCAGGCTAAGGGACCCCACCCATGCCCAAATTTGTGTACCAAAGAGGCCCCACGGCATGCCAGACAGCAGGAATAAGAGTGGAGCACTGTGTCCTACTATTCTAGTAGCTAAGAATAAAACCCAGCTTGTCAAAGGAGTTCATGGAAGTTAGAGCAAAGCCAAGACCGTCTTGGGCAGTGAGGAGTACATCACAGGAGGCCTGGTGTGTCTGTTAAACTGAGGTCAGGGTCTTAGCTCAGGCTGCTACAACAAAAGCACCTCAGACTGGGTGATTCAAACAACAGAAATTTATTTCTTTTAAAAATATATATTTTTATTGATTTCAGATAGGAAGGGAGAGAGAGATAAAAACATCAATGATGAGAGGGAATCATTGTTTGGCTGTCTCCTACTGGGGATCGAGCTTGCAACCTGAGCATGTGCCCTTGACCGGAATCGAGCCTGGGACCCTTCAGTCTGCAGGCTGACGCTCTATCCACTGAGCCAAACCAGCCAGGGAAGAAATGCATTTCTTACAGTTCAGAATGCCAGCATGCTTAGATTCTGGTGAAGGCTCTTCCTTGTTTATAGATGACCGTCTGTCTTCTCTTAGTATCCTCACATGGTGGGGCAGGGAGAGGGTCAGGGGAGGAGAAGAGAGAGAGAAGAGAGAGAGAGAGAGAGAGAGAGAGAGAGAGAGAGAGAGAGAGAGAGAGAGAGAGAGAGAGAGAGGCCTAGTCTCTTATTTTAAGGGTAACAATCCCCTCCTGAGGGCTCCACTGACATGCCTTCATACCTCCCAAAGATCTTACCTGCAAATACCACCACAGGGGGATAGAGCGTCAGATGTGAATGCTGAGGGGGCTAAACAGCACACAGCGGACCGTAATCATCAGAAATAACAACAGTGACAGCTAGCATTGCTTGAGCACTTACTGTGTTCCCAGCACTGTGTAAATCACTTTCTACACTTCACCGTGCTTAAGCCTCACCAGGACCCTGCGAGGAGGATATGGTTGGCTACAGGAGGCCAATTCCCAGGGAGTTAAGCCATTTTCCCAGGGCCGCACAGCGGTGGGTCTGGGGTTGCAAACACCGTGAGAGCCTGTGATGGGCCTCCAGATGGGCAGAGCAGGAAGGGCTGCAGCGGGTTAGCTAACACAGCCAGGAGGCCCCACAGCATGCCAGACGGCAGGAATAAGAGCGGAGCACTGTGTCCTCGTGGGGAAAACAGATGCTGGATAAGCGAGCAAGCGAATGAAGTCGTTTCCATACATATATGATGGGGAAAACAAAGTAGGCCAAGTGGTAGACGGAGGGTGACTCAGCGGACGTGGTGGTCAGGAGAGTGGCAGGAAGCCAGCCGTCCACATGATGGCTTGGGATGAGGAGCAGCGGCCCCGTGGGGACGGGCGAGAAGAGCATCTGAGGCGAAGGGAGCAGCCGTGCAGAGGCCTCGGGCAGGAGCACATCCGTGTCCTCTGAGGAGCACGGAGAAGGAGGCGGTGTGGCTGCAGTGGAGTGAGCAAGGGCGAGAGAGAGGGGAGTGGAGGGCAGAAGGCTGCTCTGGAGGAGACGGGCTGGAGGACCAAAGAAGCTTCTGGAATCAGTTGCCTGGACAGGCCTGAAAGGATGGGGTGGTTGAATGGGATTAGGGGCCATTCACCCCACCTCTTCTCTCTGATTCTCTCCACTCAGGGATCCACTGGCCTGCCTGGCCCCCTGGGACCAATAGGAGAGAAAGGGAGGCGGGTGAGTCGTGAGGGGCAGGGAGGGAAGGGCTTACCTGGACGACAGCATCCGTGGCTGTGCATGACGGGGGGGCTGGGTGTCTGTGTCTATGCCTGGAAGCACTTGAGGGCCTACTTCATCCCATGTGCAATGCAGGACACATGTAGGTGACCCCGCCCGGCATTGTGGCACAGGTGCCTCTGCATATATGTGTGCACGTGTGTCCCGTGTGTCTCTCAGTGCAAATTAGATGAGGTCTGGGTGCTGCAGCCTGTGGGCCTGTGACCGAGTGAATGGGGCATGAGCCTGCACAGTGTGTGATTGTGGACATACATGTGTGTGAGGGGCATGCATATGTGTGTGAAAGGATACTATATACATGTGTGTGTATTTCTGTGTACATTGAGCGACTGTGTACACATGCGTGCTCTGTACACATTACTCTGCTCTGTGTGCATTGTTGCTGAGTAAATGGACATTGTGTATATGTACATGAGTGCATGTATGTGCTGTGCTTATCAGGACTGCACCTTCACATAAACCCATGCATGTATGTGTTTACACTAAGTGTACGCGTGTTCAAGGGACATATTGCATGTCAGGCTTCACATCTCAGCCTGAGGCTGCGATCACCCAGTGCTTGTCACGATGGCATGAAGACATGTGTGCAACTGTGATAAATAGGTGTTTGCGTGGACAAACATGCTTATATGCGTGGGTCAATCATACATGCCCTGATCTTTGCGTGACTCTGTGTGTGTGTGTGTGTGTGTGTGTGTGTGTGTGTGTGAAAGGCTTGTGAATAAATGGTGACAGATATCTTTCTAGGTCTGTGACTGGGTGCCTTTGTGTGTTGGTGTCATGTGTTTTCACTGTAACCAGCTCCCCCTCACCTGATTGATCTTCCAGGGGAAGGCCGGGCAGCCAGGACTGGAGGGAGAGCGGGGACTGCCTGTAAGAAATGGGGAGCCTCCCCACCCCACAGGGTCTTGGGGGGCAGGGCTGGAAGGAGGGACTAGAGAGGGGAGTTGGGGAGAAGAGCATTAGGGTTATGTCGGTGTCCCTGGTGGGACAAGAGGGGTGGGACCCAGAGGACTTGATCTCATCTCCTCGGCTCCCCCCACCCCTCACTTCCAATCTTTGCTTCTTTTCTATTCAGGGATCCCGTGGAGAGAGGGGGCAACCGGGTCCCACAGGGCCACCAGGCACCAAGGTATGGGGTGGGCCATCAGGCTCCCCAGACTCCCCAGCCCCTCCAAGCCCCTCCAAATTCCTCCCAGTTGAGTTTGTTCTGTGGCCTGAATCTCATTCTCTCTGTCTTAGGGCGATGTGGGCCAGGACGGGGCTCCTGGGATCCCTGGTGAAAAGGTGAGTGTGTGAGTGTGAGTGTGAGTGTGTGTGTGTGTGTGTGTGTGTGTGTGTGTGTTTCTGGGGAGGAGACAAATCCAGGAGGTAGGGAGACATTACAACGCAGAGGAAAGAGCACAGCCTCGGAGGTCAGAGCCATGAGTTCAAGTCCTACCTTGGCCACTTACCTGCTGTGTGACCTTGGGCAAATCACTGAACCTCTCTGGGCCTCAGTTTCCCCCTCTGCAAGATGGGAATAACCACAGTCCCCACCCCAAGGGCCGCAGCAGTGAATGAAATGACTTCTGTGTGCCGGGCCCTGTGCCGGCATGCGGAAGGCGCTCAGTGGGTGCCAGCTCTTGTCATTATGTGGAGCCGAGGATAGCCGGGCAAGGGGGGTGAGTAATGACTTCTGCTTCCATTTCAGGGCCTCCCAGGCCTACAAGGGCCCCCTGGATTCTCTGGGCCAAAGGGTCCCCCTGTAAGTGAGCTCACCCTGGTGAGGTGGGGAGGGAGCTGGGCGTGGAGAGCCTCCTTATTTGTGCCTCGACTCTCCCCCACCTTGTCCTTCAGGGCCCCCAGGGGAAAGACGGGCGACCTGGGCACCCTGGACAGAGAGGAGAATTGGTGAGTGATGATTTGACCTCTGACCCCACTGGGCTTTCCATTTCTTGGCCCCCCCCGCCCCCCCACGGTGACTTCTTTTAATTTTTCTTCCCAGGGCTTTCAAGGTCAAACAGGCCCACCTGGTCCAGCCGGTGTTGTGGGTCCTCAGGTCAGACGGGACCCCACAAGTCCCCCCAGTGTTGTGACAGCTGGGGGGCAGTATTTGGGGGGGATGGGAGTGGATCTCAGACAGATCCCCCCACCCCAGACCACCTCCGTTCCAGATGCGCCTTCTTCCTCTCCAGGGAAAGACAGGAGAAGCAGGCCCGCTGGGTGAGAGGGGCCCGCCCGGCCCGCCCGGCCCTCCCGGGGAACAAGGTCTCCCGGGGCTGGAAGGCAGAGAGGGGGCCAAGGTGAGACCTGCCTGTGGGAGACCTGGCAGAGGGGCCCAAAGCCCCCCAGGGGCCCCCTGCCTCCTGAGGGCTCAGAATTAGCCCCACAGGGGAGGGCAGGCCTCCAGATTGGGGCGGCAATCCTCTCTGAGCCTGACCTTCCTCCTCTGCTCTCCTGCAGGGGGACCTGGGGCCGCTGGGGCCCCTTGGGAAGGAAGGACCACCTGGACCGCGGGGCTTCCCTGGCCCCCAAGGAGCCCCAGGGGACCCTGTGAGTACCCTCCGGAGCCCTCCTGTGGGTGCTGAGTCCTGAAGCAGAGAAGGAGATGGGGGCTCAGGGCAGGGCATCCTGGTGGGGGGGGTGACCGTGAAAATAAAGGCATAGCAGCAGGAGGGGCCTGGAGGAGACTGATCCCCCTGAACCTCAGTGCCTGGAAGGAGGTGGGCCCCCCCAACGTGAAGACAGGACCTGGGAGGTACCTGGGGGTGGGTTGTCTATTGACTGTGAATCATCTCCTCCCTCAGGGACCTACTGGATTGAAGGGTGACAAGGGCCCACCGGGTCCCATCGGTGCCAATGTAAGTGCAACCCCATCTGCTGGGTAGGGAGCAGGGTGGAGGAACTTGGGGTGTCTGGAAAGCTGGGCGTTGTCATTATTTTTGGAGTCAGACAGGCCTGGGCCGCATCCAACTCTGTCACTCACTGGCGGGGCAGTCATGTCACTCTGAGCCTCTGTTTCCTCATCTGTAACATAGCCCATCTCATTGGCTATCAGATGACTCAACCAGATGATCGCTTTGACACATGCTCACCAGTGTGCCAGGCAGATACATATAAAACCTCCTTTCTCCTGGAGGTTCCGCTCTAGTTGGGGAGACGAGCAATGAGCAATGATGAATGTCCCAAAACAAAGCAGCAGAGGGAGGGGGAAGAGCAGCTGAGCCAGGCTGCTCAGGGAAGGCCTCCTGAGAAGGAGAATTTGAGTTGGGACCTGAGGAGGTAAGGAAGGAGCCTGTGGATGTGCAGAGAAAGGCGTTCTGGGTGGAGGGACAGCATGTGCAAGGGCCCTGAGGCTGGACCCTGCCTGGCCTATTGGAGAAAACAGCATGGAGACCTTGTGGCTGGAGGGGGGTGAGCTGGGGTGAGAGTAGGAGGAGATGAGGGCAGGGAGGGGTCCGGGGGAAGTTGTGCAGGACCTGGTGGGCTGCCAGGAGGATCTCTCTCTCTCTCTCTCTCTCTCTCTCTCTCTCTCTCTCTCTCTCTCTCTCTTTCTCTCTCTCTCTCTCACTGAAGAGGAAGCCTTGAGGGCTATGGTTGAGGAGGCACTTGCCCTGACTTAGGTGTTCACAGCAGCTTCTGTCCACTCTTGGGGGAACAGATTGGATAAGTGCTGGTGATCGCTTAAACTCAGTGCTTGGCAGCTTGGAAAACCTCCAGAAATGAGAACTACTATTGTTATTTTTCCTGACCCCTGTTTTCAGGGCTCCCCTGGGGAGCGTGGGCCTGTGGGCCCCACAGGAGGCATCGGGCTTCCTGGCCAAAGTGGAGGCCAAGGCCCTGTCGGCCCTGCAGGCGAGAAGGGGTCCCCGGTAAGTGCTCTGCCCACCCCATTCCGCACACCAGGACCCCACTCCTGCCCTAGCCCTGACGCCCCTCCTTGTACTCCCACACCAGGGCGAACGGGGTCCCCCTGGCCCCACTGGCCAAGATGGGATCCCAGGGCCCCTGGGCCTTCCAGGTCCCCCTGGAGCTGCCGGGCCTTCGGGCGAGGAAGGCGACAAGGTGAGAGTTCATGGAGAGGGAGGGGCAGGAGAAGGGGGGGGGGGCTGCGAGGTAGGGGTCCTACCTCATCCTGTTTCCTTGTAGGGGGAAGTGGGCACCCCTGGCCACAAGGGGAGCAAAGGCGATAAGGGGGATGCGGTAAGTGGGAGCCCTGCTTGAGGGTGAGTCCTCAGGGAGCGGGGAGGCGTGTGGAGATGGACAGGGTAGGGGGACGGAGGGGAGGCCATGGAGCTTCCTGCCTCCCTGAGTCCCATGTTGACACCTGCAAGTAACAGAAGCCACTCACGCTACCTGAAGTGATGGGGCCAACAGAGTCGCTGGGGCCCCAGGAGGGCGGGCGGGCGCTGGGGCAGTTCCTCTCTCCTCTGCCTTTCCTTGGGGGGCAGTTCCTCTCTCCTCTGCCTTTCCTTGGGGGCATGTCATTCTCTCTGGCTGTGACTCTGCACGGCTCCGAGGCAGCGCATCCCCAGCTTCCCGTTGAGGCTTCAGCCACCGCTGCAAGACCTCCCTGGTGCTGGTGGGAGGTCTGGGGAGCAGTCTGAAGGGCCACACTTAGGATAGATGTCTGTGTCCGAGCCCGTCAGCTGGTGGCTGGGAAGACAGGCCTGGGGTGTGTGCGCCGCTATGGCTTCCTGGTGGGGGCAGTGGGTGGGGGACAATTATTGACATCTCCAGTGCCACCCCCCAATCTTGATCTTGAGAGATTTTCAACTCTGCTTCCTCCTCCAGGGCCCACCTGGACCAACAGGGATACGGGGTCCTGTGGGACACCCAGGTCCCCCGGTAGGTGCTCCTGGCTCTGTGACTATCCACTGGGTCCCTGGGGGGAAGGGACAGTGTCCTACATCTGGACTCAGGCTCAGACTCGATTCCAACCCTAATCTGCTCCTCCATGTTGACAACCAGTATGCACTCGTCCCAGAACCTGGCTCCATCCAGAACCTCAGCCCCAATCTCAGCCCTGCTTGAGACCTTAACCTCAATCCCAACTCACACCTTGTCTTCAAATGCCTCATTAGCCAAGCGCTGACCCAGTCCTCCCAAACCCCAACCTCGATCCGCCTGGCAATGCTGACCTCAAACCTGAGGTCAGACTCTGAATCTGGCCTTGGCCTCAACCTCAGACCCAACCCGAAATTCCATCTCAACCCCATTTGAACCCTGCTCATGATCTTGACCTTAATCTGAACCTTACTCATCACCCAATGTCCATCTCAAAACTTTGACTCAACCCTTGAACTCATTCCCAAACTCTGACCCTTAATCCACACCCCTAACTCCAAACCTAACCTTAACCCTCCCCACAGTTAATCCCAACCCTGATTCCAACCATCATCCTCCATCCTGACTTTGACCCCGAGCCTACTTCCAACCATTGACCCGGACCCTAACGTTGCCCGGCCCTCTTCCTCTCCCAGGGAGCAGACGGAGCTCAGGGACGCCGGGGACCCCCAGGCCTCTTTGGGCAGAAAGGAGATGATGGCGTGAGAGGCTTCGTGGGGGCGATTGGCCCCCCTGGCCTGCAGGTGGGTGTCTGAGTTTGAGGGGATGGCCTCTGGTTCCCCACACCCTATGCCCCAATCTTGCTTCTTTGTTCCACAGGGACTGCCAGGCCCTCCTGGAGAAAAGGGAGAGGTTGGAGACGTGGGGTCCATGGTATGGATAATGGGGGAGCGGGTGGGAGGGGGAGAGAGGTGGCAGGGGGAGGGTGACCATTAGATTGATGTTGGGTGGTATCATAAGACACATTGTCACTTTAAGGATCAGGGGGGTCATAAGCATCAAGGGTGGTGTTTGTGGTTCCTGGAGCCTTTCGGAGGGGCAGGGGGTCACTTGATGCTGCTCTGACTGTCCCACAGGGTCCCCATGGAGCTCCAGGCCCTCGGGGTCCCCATGGCCCGAGTGGATCCGAGGTGAGGACTCTGGGGCTGGGGGAGAGCTTCGGGGGGGGGGGGGGAGGAGACACGCATCTATTTTTCAAGAAGGGGAGGTTGGGATCCCAGTCTCACGTCTATCCCTTGTGGCCCTTCAGGGCTCTCCAGGGCTGCGTGGAGGAGTCGGCCAGCCCGGCGCCGTGGGTGAGAAGGTGAGAGAGAGAGAGAGGACTCCACAGGGTTGGGGAGGCACAACCAGTTCAGATTGGGGGTGGCCTGTCTCTGGACATTGAACCCTCACTTTGCCTCCTGTAGGGTGAGCCAGGGGAGGCTGGAGACCCAGGACTCCCCGGAGCCCCAGGCATCCCAGTGAGTGACTGTTTTCTGTGCCCCTGCACCCACCCCAGGGAACCCCTGCTTTCTGGGTATCTCAGGCCACCTTGACCTCTGGGCAGTCCTAAGTCACCCACTTAGGAACACATGGGCACCTCGGCTTATCTTGATGATAGAGCCTTGGAAGGTGTCAGTGCACGAGGGTGTGGGGCTGAGGGGTAAATGGGGCCCGGGTCTAACATAAGCCCTGGTTTGGGGATGAGCTCCCCACAGGGGGGCCCTTTTCTAATTCAGTAAAGGGTGGCACATGGGCTAGACCAACCTTACCCATGACCTCTAGGCAACTGGACTGTTAAGTCCTAGATCCCCTTGACGTCCTACCCTTGGGAAGTCTAGGCTACTCTGACCCCTGACTCCAGGAAAATCCCAGACCGCCCAGATTCCTAAGTCCAGGCATGCTAACCTTGACCCCTGGAGAGTCCAGGCTCTTCTGACTTCTGTTTCTCCAAAGGGGCCCAAGGGAGAATTTGGTGAAAAGGGGGACACAGGCCCATCTGGGGCTGCAGGACCCCCAGGCAAGAAGGGCCCCCCTGGAGAAGATGGAGCCAAAGGGAGTGTGGTGAGTCCTGGGGGAGGAGGAGGGACAGCTGGGGGAGGGGCATGCGTGTTCACTCAAACCCGCTCCTCAGCTTCCAGCCAGGTGCCCTGTCCTCCTGTGTGCAGATTCCATGAGCAACCCAGAATGTGGCTGGATGAATGGCTCAATGGTTGATTGAATGAATGAATCAACATGAAAATATAGTGGTTCTATGTCACTGTGGGGGTGACACTTGCTTCCACACGGGATCATTCTGACAGTGCTGGGAACGGCAAGGTCAAGCTTGGCGCTGATGTGGGCTGTGCCCTCAGCCCGAGGCTGAGACCTCCTGCCAGAGCGTGTGTGTGTGTGTGTGTGTGTGAGTGTGTGTGTGTGTGTGTGAGTGTGTGTGTGTGTGAGTGTGTGTGAGAGTGTGTGTGTGTGAGTGTGTGTGTGAGAGTGTGAGTGTGTGTGAGTGTGTGTGTATGTGTGTGTGTGTGAGTGTGTGTGTGAGTGTGTGTGAGTGTGTGTGTGTGTGAGAGAGTGTGTGTGAGTGTGTGAGTGTGTGAGTGTGAGTGTGTGTGTATGTGTGTGAGTGTGTGTGTGAGAGTGTGAGTGTGTATGTGTGTGAGAGTGTGAGTGTGTGTGTGAGTGTGTATGTGTGTGTGAGAGTGTGAGTGTGTGTGTGTGAGTGTGTGTGTGTGTGAGTGTGTGTGTGTGAGTGTGTATGTGTGTGTGTGTGCGAGTGTGTGTGTGTGTGTGTGTGTGTGTATCCGGCTTGGGTGAAGGGCAGTGAGGAGCGTCAGAGTCAGTGGGACCTCCATTTGGATCTCCCCACCCACGACCCACTGTGTTCCTCTGGGTCAGTTCCATCTGTGAGTCCTGCTGGGAGGATGAAGTGAGATGATGCATGTCAGGTTCTTAGCTCAGCACCTGCCCCCGTTAAACACCAGCATGTTCTCCCGACTGGGGTGGAAATGTTGTGTTTTGTTCACCATGTATCCCCAGCAACCAGGGCTGTGCCTGGCACCATATATCTGTCCATGCATGCATGAATGGATGTGCAATGGTTCTGAGAGGCGATGACTCATCATTCTGTGTTCCAGGGCCCCAGAGGGCTCCCAGGAGACCCAGGACCCCCTGGAGACCCTGGAGTGTCGGTGGGTGTGAGCCTTCCTGTCCCCACCAAACCCATCAAGTTCCCTAATTCTCACCCCCACAGGCTCCCACTCACCCCTACACACTCCCATAAGCCCCCGTTCACACCCACAGGCCCCCCTCTCACACCCACAGACCAGGTGTCTTCGTCTCCCCACCCCTTGGACCTAGATGTTCAAGGTCACTAGAACAAATAACCTTCATCATCCTCCAAGCCTCACCCCCAAATTCTCATGTGCCCTCAGGAGCCCTCCCAACTCTGTTCCCTCCCTCCCACCACAGGGTCTAGATGGTCCCCCAGGGGAGAAAGGAGACCCTGGTGATGTTGGAGGACCGGTGAGCGAGGGAACAGGCTGTGATGCTGGGAGAAGGGGCAGGGCTGGTGAGGAGGCACATTGGGTGGCCAGAGGAGTGGGATATGCAATACCCGGGGCCCCTGTAGGTGTGCCTGCTCTGCCTCTCTGGAGCCTCGCCATGAATGTGAGGAGCTTGAGGGAGGAAGCTGGTGCTGGGTGATGTTTGGGTAAGGCTGTCTTTGGGTCAAAGGCATGCTGAAACGTAGTCATGCTCAACCAATGTTAGCGAATTCTCTCCTCGTTTTGTAATCTCCACAGGGTCCGCCTGGTGCTTCTGGGGAGCCCGGTCCCCCAGGGTCCCCTGGAAAGAGGGTGAGTGATGACCTGCCTCCTGGCTGCCCTGGCTCCAACCTTATCCCACTCACCCCTTCAGTCCCTCACTCACCCCCACAGGCTCCCCACCCTCACAAGTCCCCACTTACCCCCACAGGCTCCCACTCACCTCCAAAGACCCCCATTCACCCCTTAGATCCCCACTCACTCTCACAACCTCCCACTCACCCCTAAAGGGCCCCCTATAACTGTCTCTCCCTTCTCAGGGTCCTCCTGGCCGCCTGGGTCAAGAAGGCAGAGAAGGGGAGAAAGGGGCCAAGGTGAGTGCACCTGCCCAGGGAGGGGTCCCTGCCCTGACCCCCCAGCCAGCAATTGGGCCGTCAGAATGGGGAGGGGCCTGGTGACCACCACAGGTGCCCCAATTCCCTCCCCCGGCCCTGAAGATTGGTTAGCGGTCAGGAGGCAGCTGCACCCTGACTCTCTCTGCCCCCCTCCCTTGCCCCATCCATTTTAGGGGGAGCCAGGACCTGATGGGCCCGTAGGGAGGACAGGCCCCGTGGGGGCTCGAGGGCCCCCTGGACATGTTGGGCCTGAGGGTCTTCGAGGAATCCCCGGCCCTGTGGTGAGTGGGGTGAAAACAGGGGTTGGTGGGGGTGGGATCAGGTCCTCCCTGTGTGCGCACACTTTTAATTTCCCATTGCAGTTGGGAGGGGCTGGCCCTGGTTGGGGTCGGGCATTCACACTGGGTTCTGGCGCGGTGCAGCTCCCCATGTTGTGTTTCATCCCAGGGTGAACCAGGCCTCCTGGGACCTCCTGGACAGACAGGCCCTCCTGGTCCCCTGGTAAGAGACTTCCTTGTCCCTGAGGCTCTGGCACAAGAGCCACTCAGTGACCAGCGAATGACCATGGTGCTGACGACCCCTCACTGACTATCTGCAGGTCTACCCTGACCACGATTACCATCTACCCTGACCACTTATCTTGATGGTCTACATGACCACAGTGCCCCTCCGTCTTTATAGGCCAATGTGACCATCCATCTTGATAGTCTACACGGCCACCACGCTGATCTCCACCACTGAGCATCCATATTGGTCACCCTCCAGCCAGTCCCTTCATTACTCCTTGTCATTCCTCCTCCCTCCTGACCATCCCCATGATCACATTCCCTAGCAATTCCCCTTGAAGTCCGGGAAATTTCCCATTTGACCACCCCCAGTCACCCACATGGATCTTAAGATTTAATGTGTGAGTCTCATCAACGGATGCTCCTTCTCTATCCAGGGGCCCTCTGGCCTCCCAGGGCTGAAGGGAGATGCTGGCCTCAAGGGGGAAAAGGTAAGAATTCCTCCTTCCATTATTTCCTTCCCTCATGCACCTCTATTCCCATTGGGGTCTCCTCTGTTCCCAGAATGCATTACCCCAAGGCTCTAGGAGAAAAACCTCCCAGCACCCCTTTTCTTCCTCCTCACACGCCTCCTCTGTCCTCCAGGGCCACATCGGGTTAATCGGCCTCATTGGCCCTCCTGGGGAGGCTGGCGAGAAAGGGGACCAGGGGCTGCCAGGCGTGCAGGGCCCTCCTGGCCCCAAGGGAGAACCGGTGAGTGAATGTCCTGCCCCAAGTGGGAAGAATGTGTTGAAAGGAGGGGATGATTGGGGAGGCAGAGATGGGCTTGTTTGTGGGCCGTGGGGGTGAGGGAAGCCCGAGTCTGGAACGATAGGGGTTGTGTCTGGGGAAAATGGGGTCCTACCTGGGAACCTGAAGGCTGGAGGCTGTGTCTTGAGGGAACTGGAGGCTTTTCTGGAACATGGAGAGATGAGCCCTGTCAGCGATGACCCTGGTGTCCTTTCTCCAGGGTCTCCCAGGTCCCAGTGGCTCTCTGGGCCCCCCCGGACCCCCAGGCGTGGCAGTGAGTATGAAGGGTCTGTGAGGTGGGGGTCACCACACTGATCCAGCCGGGACTCCATCTCTGTCTCTGCCCGCAGGGCCCTCTGGGACAGAAGGGCTCCAAGGGGGGGCCGGTAAGTACGCCCTCTCCCTTGGGCTCCCACATTTCAGGTCCCCACCCCTCCACTGCGCCAGAACCCTCAATAATTCCTGTGCATTCATCCATTTGTTTAGTCACTGTCACACATTCAGCACGTACCATTGTATTTCATCAAATCTAAGCTGCCATCAGTTGCAAAATACACCATTATTTTATAAACTGCTATAGACGAGAACAATTCTGCCAAAGAACTATGACTTGCCAGAGATGTTAAGATGCTGATTTCAGAGATGTTGAAACATGAAAGGAAAATGTGTGCTTTATTCTTGGTGCTAAAAGTTGCATGTCCCTACCCCAGGGCTCTGTGTGTGTGTATGTGTGTGTGTGCGCGCGCGCGCGTGCGCGTGTGCGTGTGCGTGCGCATACATGCATGTGTTGTCAGGAAGGGGTCTCCATAAACAGTTTTCTCCCTACAGGGTTCTCTCGGCCCCCGTGGAGACACTGGCCCTCCAGGCCCCCCAGGTCCCCCGGTAAGTTCCCCAGGGATGAGGGTTGGAGTGTACCCACTAGTTCTCCCAGTGCTCAGAACCAGGTGGGGCACCCAGATGTACAGGGGAGGCAGGGCACCCACCAGATGTTCAGGGGAGGCAGGGCACCCACCAGATGTTCAGAGGAGTCAGGGCACACACCAGATGTTCAGAGGAGTCAGGGCACATACCAGATGTTCAGAGGAGGCAGGGCACCCACCAGATGTTCAGGGAAGGCAGGGCACCCACCAGATGTTCAGAGGAGTCAGGGCACCCACCAGATGTTCAGAGGAGTCAGGGCACCCACCAGATGTTCAGAGGAGTCAGGGCACCCACCAGATGTTCAGAGGAGTCAGGGCACCCACCAGATGTTCAGAGGAGTCAGGGCACCCACCAGATGTTCAGAGGAGTCAGGGCACACACCAGATGTTCAGAGGAGGCAGGGCACACACCAGATGTTCAGAGGAGGCAGGGCACACACCAGATGTTCAGAGGAGTCAGGGCACACACCAGATGTTCAGAGGAGTCAGGGCACATACCAGATGTTCAGAGGAGGCAGGGCACCCACCAGATGTTCAGAGGAGTCAGGGCACACACCAGATGTTCAGAGGAGTCAGGGCACATACCAGATGTTCAGAGAGGCAGGTGCTCTGAAAGCTGAAGAGGGATCTGGGCTGTGTGTGTGTGTGTGTGTGTGTGTGTGGAGAGATTAGGGGGATATCCATGGAATGCTGACTGAGTCTTCTCTCCAATCCATCCTTCCTCCCTGTCTCTTTCTCCAACTCTTCTGTCTTGCCTGCCTCTCTGTCTTTGTCTCAAATACTTGTTCCATTATTTTACCATCTCTCTCTCTCTCTCTCTCTCTCTCTCTCTCTCTCTCTCTCTCTCTCTCTCTCTCTCTCTCTCTCTCTCTCTCTCTTTCTCCTTCCTCTCTCCCTTTCTCCATTTCCCTCTCTCCCTCTCTCCCTCCCCCACCCCCTACTTCTATCTCTCCCAACTCTCCTGTCCCTGTTCTGTCTGACCCTCCTCTGACTCTCCCCCTCACCTTTCTCATCTCGCCCGCCCTTGTGTCTCTGCCTCCCATGCCTCTTCCATTTCTGCCGGCTCTCTCCCTGTCTCTCCCTTCCTGCCCTGCTCTCCATCCCCACCTCTGCTCAGGGTCCGCCCTCGGAGCTGCACGGGCTGCGCCGGCGCCGCTCGGTCCGCAGCCCGCGGGCCCTGGAGGCCCCGGAGGGCGGCCTGGAGGAGGTCCTGGCCTCGCTCACGTCGCTGGAGCTGGAGCTGGAGCAGCTGCGGCGCCCTCCCGGCACTGCCCAGCGCCCGGGCCTTGTGTGCGGCGAGCTGCACCGCAACCACCCGCACCTGCCGGACGGTGAGGTCCTGCCCTCCCGGGGCGGGCGGGCGGGAGCCGTCGGGGCGCCCCCTCACCGGCCCCGGGTCTGCCGCAGGGGAATACTGGATTGACCCCAACCAGGGCTGCGTGCGAGACGCTCTCAGGGTTTTCTGCAACTTCACGGCTGGAGGAGAGACCTGCCTGTACCCCGACAAGAAGTTCGAGACCGTGAGTGCCCTTGGGGGCGATCGTGGGCGGAGGAACCGGGACTGGTCCCGCCCGCCCCCCGACTTTGCCTTCCTTCAACCAAGGTCTATTGAGCATCTAGTGTGCACCAAGCGCTGGGGCTACAACGGAGAATAAAACTCCCCCCCCCCCCCCCACCTCCCCACTTTTATGGAGTTTGCCTTCTCGGAGGAAGACAGGCAAGGACACCCAGCAGAGAGATCACGAATGGAGGCAAACCTTTAAGCAATGCTGACATGTGTCAGACCCATTCTAATCATTTAGGTGCCTTCACTTACTGAGCCCTAACCACCAGATGTGCTAGTTCTGTCTTCATCCCCCCAGACAGGGAAACCAAGGCACAGGGAGGAGGCCAGGCTACCCATGACAGTCTGGCTCCGGAGTCCCAGCCCTTAACTACTAGGCTACTGCCTCCTCCGACCTGGTATCTTATAGGCCCCGTGGGCTCACTGTCCTCCAGGCTGCAGGCTGAGAGGTGACATCCGCTGGACCCCAGAAATGCCGGGCTCCTCCATCAGGCAGCCCTGAGCCTAACCACCTCTCACACCCAGCACCAGGCTTAGAGGAGGGCGAGCAGCACCAGCTCTGGACCGCCTGGATTGGAATCCAAGCCTGTCGCCTCGGTGTTTTAATCTGTAAAATGGGCCTAAGCAAGTACCTACCGCACAGGGTGGTTGTGCAATCGCAGTACTGATGCACATATCAGGAGATACTCATGAAACACCGACTTGGCACTAATACCTCTACCGCAAGTAAAACACGCAGCCAGCATAGATCCTGCAAAAATGCATGGCAATGCTCTTCTGATGTGTTATTATTTTTAACTGTCGGAGTCCTGGGTGTGTGGCACTCAGACCTCCTAGGCACAGGGGCTGGAAGGCAGGACTTGATCGCTAAACAGTTGCTGACATCCCAGGACTGCTCCCACTCCAGCTCACCATCTTCCTGCTCAGACAGAGAGAAGCTGGAGAGGGAGTGAGGAAGGGTCTAGGTTTGGGTTGCCCAGACTTTGGGCAAGTCATTTATTGAGGAGGCGATCCTAGGAGGCAGCAGGAGGGGAGAGGAGGATGCGGGAAGGATCGAGAGAGGCAGCGGGTATTGAGGACTTCTGGGAAACGTGGAGAGCAAGCACCTGGACGCTGTCCCACCCGGGCAGAGAGGGAGCCGGGGCATCCAGCCACCACCTCTTCCCCTCTTGTCAGTCACCAGTTGGGCCTTGCCCTGTGCACCAGCCAAGCCCACTCCCATGGCCAGACCACGGCCCCACCGTCCCAGATACTTACAAGCTGCAGCCCTCCTGGATGGGAGGTAGATGCAGAAAGGACATGGTGGGTGCCTGCTACTGACTCTCCCGCCCTTTCCCAGGTGAAACTGGCCTCCTGGTCCAGGGAAACGCCGGGAAGCTGGTATAGCACGTTCCGTCGAGGGAGGAAGGTGAGTTGCTGAAGGCTGAGGGGGCAGATGGTATGAAAAGTGTGGGAACCAGTGTGTGGTGTCGGGAGAGGGGGTTCGAGGGGAGAGGGGAACAGGACAGACTTGCCTCTGCCTTGTGGGTGAGCTGTAGGCTGGGGAGGGAGGTGAGTGGGGCGGCATCCGATGTGTGGTGGGGGAAGCCCAGGGCATGGCGGAAACCCGGAGTCAGTGCTGGAAGGACCTGCGGCTCCCTGGGCGGAGCCACAGCTCAGCTGAGGCCGAAAGAGTGAGCTGGGTTGGTGAGTTCAGGACAACGAGAAAAAGTGTTGCAGGCACGGGGACAGCATGTGCAAAAGCCCAGAGTCAAGAGGGGGTCTGGTGAAATTAAAGAAGAAGAAGCCGCCAAAACCGGTTTGGCTCAGTGGATAGAGCATCAGCCTGCGGACTGAAAGGTCCCGGGTTCGATTCCGGTCAAGGGCATGTACCTTGGTTGCGGCCACATTTCCCATAGGGGGTGTGCAAGAGGCAACTGATCGATGATTCTCTCTCATCCATGTTTCTAACTCTCTATCCCTCTCTCTTTCTCTCTGTAAAAAAATCAATAAAATATATTTTTTTAAAAGAAGAAGAAGCTACGTGCTCTGCTTCAGAGAGGGCAAGGGGGGATGTGGTTAGAGTAGAGGCTGGGAGGTAGGGAAAGGCGAGGCCCGCCTCCCCAGAAAGACCCGTGGGCAGGAGGGAGTCCTAGGACATGTTTGAAAGAGGGAGGGGCCCAGAGCAAATCTCCGTTTTAGCAAAATGCCTCTGGGGCTGCTGCTGCTGGTGGTTGTTGAGACTGGAGCCTGGAAGACCAGGAAGAGGCAGATGTGCTGATCCAGGAGAGGGAGGAGGGGCTCTAGGCCGGGGCTGGTGCTATGGGGACAGAGAGGAGGGCGTGACTTGGAACAATATCCAGGAGGGCAGGCTAATAGGACCTAGTAATTGATGAGCTGCAGGGGCGGGAGGAGACAGGTATGGCCTGGTTCCCAATTGGGGAATATGGTGTCTGCTGAGATGCTGAGATACGTGAGAAGACCAGGTTTAAGGGGCCAGGGACCTTGGGTTCAGTTTGGGACTCCTTTATGTAATGTATATTTATATGCTGGGCACTAGAAACATAGCAGCAAATTAAACACAGTTCTTGACTTCATGAAGTTGATATTCTCCTGGGAATATAACCAAGGAAACAGACGGCCCAAGGAAACAAATAAAGCTGTGGTATAATGTAAGTCGGTGTCTTGGTTTGGATTCCTCTCAAATCGAGGAGGTGATTCCAGAAAATATCAGCCGGGGAAAGTGGATATAAGACAGGAAAGAGAAGGAAGTCAAACGATGCATTACGGGCGCATTGTCTCAAGCCAGTGAGACGTTCTTAATATACTTTATTTAACCCAATGTATCCGGATTATTGGCAGAGCAATATGAAGATCATGGAGGCATTTTACTTTTTTTTCCTTTTCTTTTCATAGAAGTTCTTCAGAGTCTTGTGCATTTTTTACCTTCACAGGACATTGTAATCTGGAAGTTAAATTTCATCGGAAATGCTTGATCCGTACTTAGCTTTCATAAAACCTGCAGTTGGGAAAGTAGATCTCCATACTCAGTTTGTTCCAAGCCTAAGTTTTCAGATACCTGGGTGGAGGCTAAGTGAAGAGTTAGGAATTTAAGTGAAGAATTTGAATTAAATAATTAAATAAAAAATTTAAAATGAAACAAAGTCAAAAAATAGTTTCTCAGTCTCATCAGCCACATTTTTCTTCTGGGTTACTCCTCACCTGAGGATATTTCTTTTTTTTCTTCTTAAAAAAAAAAAAAAAAAATATATATATATATATATATATATATATATATATATATATATATATAAAATTGATTTTTTATAGAGAGGAAGGGAGAGGGAGAGAGAGTTAGAAACATCGGACAAGAGAGAAATATCGATCAGCTGCCTCCTGCACACCCCGTACTGGGGATGTGCCCTCAATCAAGGTACATGCCCTTGACCGGGATCGATCGAACCTGGGACCCTTGAGTTCCTAGGCTGATGCTCTATCCACTGAGCCAAACCGGTTAGGCCCTGAGGATATTTCTTCCATTGCTTTTCAGAGACAGTGGGAGGGAGAACGGGAGGGGGAGAAAGAGAGAGAGAGAAACGTGGATGAGAGAGACACATGGAGTGGTTGCCTTCTGCACGTTGCCTCCGCCATCTCTCCTTGACTGGGGAGGTGGGGAGCGAACCTGCAACCCAGGTACATGCCCTTGACCAGGAATCCAACCCTGAGACCCTTCAGGGCATGGGCCTGTGCTCTAACCACTGAGCACCCTGGCCAGGGCTCATCAGCCACATTTTAAGTGCTCAGTAGCCACCGTGCCCAAGGGCTCACAAGAGAGTGATGAAGGGCGAAGGGGGCGTCCTCACCTGCTGCTCTGCCCCACCCCAGTTCTCCTACGTGGACGCCGATGGGGCCCCGGTGAGCGTGGTGCAGTTGACCTTCCTGAAGCTGCTGAGTGCCAGCGCCCGCCAGAGCTTCACCTTCTCCTGCCAGAACGCCGCCGCCTGGCTGGATGCGGCCGCCGGGGACCACAGCCGCTCCCTTCGCTTCCTGGGGACCAACGGAGAAGAGCTGACCTTCAACCAGACGGCCCTGGCCACCGTCACTGTCCCCTACGACGGCTGCCAGGTCAGGGAGAGGGCAGGGGCTGGCCGGGCAGGGAGGGGAGGCCCCGATCCCCCATCCCACCTGACTCCCCGCCTGTGTCTTCCCACCGCCAGCTCCGGAAGGGACAGGAGAAAACCCTCCTGGAGTTCAGCTCTTCCCGGGTGGGGTTTCTGCCCCTGTGGGACATGGCCGCCGTCGATTTTGGCCAGACGAACCAGAAGTTCGGGTTTGAACTGGGCCCTGTCTGCTTCAGCAGCTGAGCGTCTGGAGGGGGTGGACGGGGCCACGAGGGAGCCCCAGGTGGGGCACACTGGTGCTGAGGCTTTGAAGCCACCATATTTATCGTCTCTCCGGTGCCTGTGGACTCAGAGGGAAGTCTGCTCGTCATGGTCAAGCAATGTCCCTGCTCCACTCTCTGGGGGCTGCGGGCTGGACTCCCCTGGCCCAGGAGTCCAGCCTCCCCCCCTTTTCCTATTCCCTTCCTCACCCTTGCTGGAGTGATGCAGGCTTTCTACCCTCTGTGCCCATTCCTCCTGCAACTCCCACGCCTGATCCCCCACGCAATGAACTTCTAGTCCAGAGCTGATGAGTGCCCTCCGCCCCTGTCTTTCCCTTCCCAGGCAGTACCCCAACACCCTTTGGTGCTACCCTCCCCACTAGTTAAGCACTGGACCTCTCCTGATCCCAGTCTGGGCCCCTCCCCTCGTTCCTCTCTTCAGGTGGGTTCAGAGAGAAGGACGCTGCCTAGGCCCAGCTCTGAACACAGGCCCCCTCATTGCCCACTATGCCAGATGGTTTGGGGACCAAGGTGCGGGGTAAATCAGGATCCTGATGGTGCTGTCCTATTTATACCGGGATCTACATTAAAAGGGAAAACCCCCCTCTGTTATATATTTAATCTGCTTCCTCCTTACAGAAGGCTGGGATATGATGAAAGAGATTCTAGCATGACGCCCCCATTCCCACCCCCCACCCTTTTCCCCAGGGCACAATTGGCATCTCAAGTCTGAGAATAAACCACTGAACTGTGTCCCTGTCTGTGTCCTTCATCTGGTGCTGCCCGCATCTTCCTTAGGGTCTGTCTATTGTATCACCACCCATCTTAACTGTGTTATTAGGTGGAGGTGGTTAGGTGGAGGTGGGCGGGGGAACCCAGCTATAATGGGACTCACTGGAGGTGGTGGGCCTGTTCGTTAACTCAGGAAAAGTTGAAAATACTAGATCTCTAAGAGAGTAGATCTTAACTTTCCTCACCACAAAAAAATAAAGAATAATTATGTGATGTAATACAGGTGTTAGTGAATCATTTTGCAATATATATGGAGATCAAATCACCACATTGTACCCTTAGACTTGCATCTTACATGTTATACTAGAGGCCCAGTGCACAAAATTCATGCATGGTGGGGGAGGTCCCCTCAGCCCAGCCTGCACCCTCTGGGATCCCTCTCACAATCCAGGACTGCTGGCTCCCAACTGCTCGCCTGCCTGTCAGCCTGATCACCCCCTAACCACTCCACTGCCAGCCTGATCGATGCCTAACTGCTCCCCTGCCAGCCTGATCGCCCCTAAATGCCCTCCCCTGATGGCCTGGTCACTCCTAAGTGCCCTCCCCTGCCAGCCCCGTCACCCTTAACTGCCCTCCCTTGCCAGACCGGTTGCCCCCAACTGTCCTCTCCTGCAGGCCTGGTCCCCCGCAAGTGCCCTCCCCTACAGGCCTGGTCCCCCCGACTGCCCTCCCCTGAAGGCCTGGTCCCCCCCAACTGCCCTCCCCTGCAAGTCTTGTCCACCCCAACTTCCCTCCCCTGCAGGCCTGGTCGCCCCCAACTGCCCTTCGCTGCTGACCATCTTGTGGTGGCCATCTTGTGTCCACATGGGGGTCACCATCTTTGACCACATGGATTGGCCATCTTGTGTGTTGGAGTGATGGTCAATTTGCATATTACTCTTTTATTAGGTAGGATATGTCAATTACATCTCAGTAAAGCTGGAAAAAATGTGAACCCATTAAGAAGGCATCAAACTTGAAAAAAGAAGGAAAAGAAGAAAGAGAAGGAGGGAGGGAAGGAGAGAAGGAAGAAAGGGAGGGAGAATGGAAGGAAGGAAAGAAGGAAGGAAAGAAAGAAAGAAAGAAAGAAAGAAAGAAAGAAAGAAAGAAAGGAAGGAAGGAAGGAAGGAAGGAAGGAAGGAAGAAAGAAAGAGAGAGAGAGAGAGAGAGAAAGAGAAAGAGAAAGAGAAAGAAATAAAAGACAGCCAGATCTCCATGTTAATCTTGATTAGGCCAGGAGACACTGGCTAAGCTGAGGGGATTCATGGAGAGATGACATGGGATGTGGTTTTGATTTGAAATGAAAGGACTAGATGTCAAAGGTCTGGGTAGAAAGTCGGGGGATGAGTTGGAAGTGAAGAGAACCTAGTTAGGAGTTGAGCCTTGAAGTGAGTTTGGGGCTGGAATTTAGGGGTTGAAAATGGGTTGAAGATGAGTTGAATTGGAGGTGGGTTTGGAGTGAGTTGAATGAGTTTGGGATTGTGAATTAATGATATCTGTTGAGGTGGAGGTTGGACAATGAGTGGATTGAGTTCAGGGATTGGAAATGGATGTTGGATTAAATTAAATTAGGGTTGCTTTGAGATGTAGGATGAACCGAGTAGAGGTACGTAGCAGTTGCTATGGGTAGGGGGTGGGAATTGTCAGTTTGGTAAGTCAAGATTGGATCAGTTAAGATGAGAGTTGAGTTTGAGGTGGCTTGAATTGGGGATTAGATGTTGGGTTGAGTTATTTATTGAGATGTAATTCAATACCATATAATTCACTCATTTGAAGTATACAATTAATGGTTTTTTAGTACATTCACACACTAGTGAAACCATCACCACAATCAATTTTAGAACATTTTCCTCACCTCAAAAAGAAATCCTATATCCATTAGCAGTCACTCCAAACCTCTCAGCAGTAGGCAACCACTCATCTTCTGTCTCTATGGATTTGCCTATTTTGGACATGTCATATAAATGGAATCTTACACTATGTGGTCCTTTGTATCTAATTGTTTTAAGGCGTATGCTGTAGTATACATCAATACTTCATTCCTTTTATTTTTATTTATTTATTTATTTATTTATTTATTTATTTAAAAATATATTTTATTGATTTTCCACAGATAGGAAGGGAGAGGGATAGAGAGTTAGAAACGTCGATGAGAGAGAATCATCGACTAGCTGCCTCCTGCACACTCCCCACCAATGTACATGCCCCTGACCAGAATCGAACCTAGGACCCTTCAGTCCGCAGGCTGATGCTCTATCCACTGAGCCAAACCGGTTTCGGCCATTCCTTTTATTGTTGAATGAGAGGCCGGTGCACGAATTTGTGCATGGGTGGGATACCTCGGCCTGGCTGGCGATCGGGGCCAATTTGGGCTGCTGGTGGAGGGGGAGGGGACTTCTGGAGGTTGGCCAGCTGTGGGAGGTTGGCTGGCTGCAGGAGGTTGGCTGTGGGAATGCACTGACCACCAGGGGGCAGCTCCTATGTTGAGTATTTGCCCTCAGGGTGGTCAATGTGTGTCATAGTAACTGATCGACCAGTTGTTCACTCACTTAGGCTTTTATATATATAGATAATATTTCATTGTCTGGATAGACAACATTTTGTCTACCCATTCACCAGTTAATGGAGATTACTGAGTTGAGGTAGGAGTGATGGAGAGCATGTGTGTTGAATTGGGTCAAATGAGGTTGGGTGGGTAGAGGTTGTAGGTTGGAGTGAATGCTTTCACCAAACCAGGAACTTACCCTACTTCTCCTGCCACCAGACCCCCTAAAGTCACCTGAATAATTGTCTTGGATTCCTTTATTCAATAAATGTCACTAAGAATCTTACCACCATGTAGAGTGTTGATGTCCAGAGGCTGATTGATGAGTTCACTCATCACACATTTATTTGTTTCATTCTATTGAGTGTTTAGTCAGTACCAGGCACTGTTCCAGATGCTGGGAATAGAAGAGCAATGTGGTTGCTGCCCTCAGAATGTTACTCCTGAAGGAGATGATAGTTCTATATAAATGTGGTCTCAAGTAGTGGTTGTTGTGAAGGAAAGTCAAACAGGTTGCATGGCTAGGGAGTGATGGGGTGGGCAGCTAGAGAGGCTTCATTGAGGAGGTGACACTTGAGTGGAGGCATGTAGGATGTGAGGGGAGAGCCGTGTAGAGTCTATGGCTTCTTGAGGAAGTATTCCACACACAGTGAAGAACCCAGAAACCCTCCAATACCAATGAAGGCTCTTGAAGGGATGCCGTTTCTCTTGGTCACCTCTTCTCCTGATTTGTTGCTTTTGCTGATTTCTTCACCCCGTGCTTTCTTCTGTCAACCCAAATGTAGACTGGACTTGCTTTCCTTTCAGTTTATCTCACAAACATCTTTTTAAAAAACATATATTTTTAATTTCAGAGAGGAAGGAAGAGGGAGAGAGAGAGATAGAAAACCATCAGTGATGGGAGAAAATCATTGATTGGCTGCCTCCCGCATGCCCCCCACTGGGGATCGAGCCCGCAACCCGGGCATGTGCCCTTGACTGGAATGGAACCTGGGACCTTTCAGTCTGCAGGCTGATGCTCTATCCACGGAGCCAGACTGGCTAGGGCTCTCCTAAACATCTCTACCTCAAGAATGTATATGGTAGCACCAACACTGTGTGTTATTTCTCTTCCTGAGTACACGTGAGAACAAACACCTTTTCCATCTTCCCTTGCAGTTAGATTTGGGCCATGTGACTGAGTTTGGGCTAATGGGGGTGTGGGTAGCGATAAAACTTCCTACATAGTTGTCCATAGTCCTCCATGATCTTTCTCCCCATTCCATGGTGACTCCATAGTGACTTTGGAGATCCCATAAATATGTAGGACGGAGGTGTCAGTTACAAAACTAGAAAGGAGCCTGTTTCCCTGCATAACTGCTTGGAGGAATGCTACCAAGGAGACCTCCATCAGATATGACCAAGAAATAATTTGTTTTATGTCCCGGCCCGCGGGGCAACAACGGGGGCACGCAGGAACCACCTAAGAGAATGAAGCAAACAAGGAACGCGGAAGAATGGAGGCAAGACAAGGTTCTGATCAAGCCTCAATTTTATTCTCTGAAATGGCTGTATTTATACAGCAGAAACAAAGGGGGGCAGGGTTGCTTATGCAGAGGGGTCTTTGCATAACATTCCAAGGTGCAACATTCCAAGGCTGGGCTATCTAGGGGGGAGGATCAGGAAGGGGAAGCGGCAGGAAGATGCTAAGCGGCAGGTTAATCTTATCTTCTGGCCAAGCCCTCAGGGCACCGCATAACTTCTGCTAGAAGGAACTTAATTCTATTTCCTTAAGACTGAGTTGCTTGCCTCAACTCTGCTGGCTCCCAACAGTTTTAAGCCCTTGAGATACATATATATATATATTTAATCCTCACCTGAGAATATGTTTTTCATTGATTCTGGAGAGGAAGGGAGAAAGAGAAAGAGAGAAACATCTAAGTGAGAGAGAAGCATTGATTGTTCACCCTAATCAGGATCAAACCTGACACCTGGATATGTGCCCTGACCAGGAATTGAACCTGAGACCCTTTGGTACATGGGATAATGCGCCAACCCACTGAGCAACACTGGCCAGGGCCAAGCCTTTGAGTTTTCTAAGGGTTGCTTGTTATAGCAGCTAACATTAATTATCCTGCTACAGTGAATGCATCTGACATTTACTGAAGGTCAGCATGTGAACATGGGTGTGAACCAGGAGGTATCATTGCAAGACAATTAACAAGTTAAAATTTAATATGGAATATCCTTTTTCTCAAAACTGCCCGTCATTGTGAATTTGTCACTGGAGATGTGCTTTCACCAAGTCTGCATTTCCTGCCATTCTGCTTCCCTCTCTCATCTCTCCCTCCCAACATCTCTCCCCGCCTACCCACTTCATCCCCTTCCTCTAAGGCTGTCTACACGCAGATCTTTCTCACTTTCTTATGAAAAACCATTCACTCAGCCCTTCTTACAGACCATATCTTCACGCCCACAGGATCCATGATTAGTTCAACTGACACTGTTGATAATGATAATGATAATGTCTGAGCATGTACATGCCAAACACTGTTCATCACATGTGTTCCCTGGGTGGATGTACTTGTTCCTCATCGCAACCTTAAAGGAAGTTGCTGTTACTATCCCCATTTTGCAGAGGAGAAAACTGAGGAACAAAGAGGTGGAGAAATTTTGCTCAACAAAAACCCATCATCTCCTTTGATAGAATTCTTC